AGGACTTCCTCCCAGACGTTCGAGTGCGTGTTCAACGAGTGAAGGGATAAGAAGAGAGAATCCAGCCGGGCCGGCTGAATTTGGGAGTATGCTTCTAGGTCTGCTATAAGCTACAAGGTAAGGAGATGTGTTTGTTGATGGTACTGTATAGTAGTATGGTCTCCACGGCTGCTTTGGGGGAGACGGACTACTTCCTATTATCTATGGGATCAAGCGTGTATCGTGCATCTCTTGCAAGTGCGGTGCGGGACATGACATTCTGCCTACTTCATCGTTGTTGATTCTTTGGCGAAGCTGGGAGGTTGTACAGTAAGTGGAAAATTAAAATATGGAATGGAAATAACTTGTGGATACTCACTGGGTAAGCTGCGAAAATTAAAATTCGAGTTGGCTGTAGATTAGGTGGTTAGCTTATGGGGATTATATATACTTCTAACCTATTAGTTTATTAGATCTTGCTAATTTGCTAATATAAAAGTCATTCTATCTACCTAAAGTTCTGATGTTAAGAATTTTGGGCGGAACTCTTCTATGTAAGATACCAAGTGCTAGACTGGCATGGATATTTATACATAATACCTTAGACTATTATCCTGTGTTGGGTTTTAATAGGGAGGCACGTACTAACTAGCTGGCTAGCTGACATATGAATGACCCAATGTAATGAATCATGAATGACTAACCTACGTAAGATCTCACTATTCCCTACAAGTTCCACTTTGCCTTCTTCGCTTCTTTCTTCTTTCTACTAGCGCTTTTTCCAAATGTAGATCGGAAGGTCTTCTGAGAAGTAATGGCCTATAGTACTAAACACGTTGTTTCTTGATTATTACTATTTCTCCTTGCCTCTAACGCTCGGCATGTAGAACTATATTCTATAGAATTCTAGAGGCTTTGTCTAACTAACTAAAACGTAAGGTTTAGGGTGGGATATAGTGGTTTTAAGTAAATGAGATATAATTATTATATACTATATCTGAGTGAATAGGAAGACTAGAACCTAAATACCGTAGTTAAGTTTACTGTAACGAATACTCAAACTGGCTAACTAAACTTGGCTGGGTGTTCGCTGGTTGGTATGCTATGATAAGAAGAAGACTATCGGGTTGTTCACTTGGAAGTGAACTCGTCACTTGTATCAAAGATGTCAAACTAATATGATAAGATTGATAACTAAGTTGAGCACGAAGCTCCTATCTAATGGCAGACGTGCCAGTCTTATATAGATCCTTTCATGTTCGTGGATCGTACTGGATCATGCAGATCTACGCTCCTGGATCGTGGATCATTACGATCCAAAAGATCCAGGTCACGTGACCTTTCCAATCAATGAAAATCCCTGGATCGCTTAGCTGGTCTAAGGATCCCTTTCTGCTATAAGAAACCTGGGTGTGCCTGCCGAGGGTTGCGCCTCTTATTATGACAAGTATCACGTGAGCACGTGATTCGTGACATTTACTTCGTAATTAACTATAGAAGGATTAGGATTAGAGACTCTCTGTGTTACTCTGTTCAACCCTTGGGGCTTTATATAACATGTCCTAGCACGTGCCTAGATACTAGTTTTATACAAACTGGGAGCTTCCTATTAGTCCATCGGAGCGGTAGGACTTTTTCCCGGTCATATAACAAATCCTATCTAGAAATTCTATATATTCTATAGAATATATACCTCTAGAATAGAATGATTCTAGAGGGGGGGTCTAGAATAGAAAGGAATTCTGGTTGCCAAGCGTTGCTTGCCTCTGTGGTTTATTCGGCTTCGTATTACACTTCCGATCGAAATTTCAGAACTATCGGTTCGCTTCTTCTATCCAACTCTACCGCAAAGAATATATAGTAGCTTGGACTATTATCCAAGGTGAACTATAGATCGTAGCAGTTTCATACAACAATCCCGTTTAGGTAGATAGTATATCAAACCTCTGATCTAAACTCAAAAAACTCAATGGAACTTCAGATATCTTCCCTTCTTCGAAATCTCGAAATCTTTGAAGCAGAATTACTGTATATACATACCCCCCAAAAAGCCAACCATCACAGCACGAGCGCATGGGCTCCTCTGTCTGGCGCTGAAATATCCCATGAAAGGCTAGCGCGCTAGTCTCATCACGGACACTTCTAGCCAGACATCTTATGAATTTGTTCGAGCTACCATGCTTTGCCTTCGGCTAACCTTCTCTTAGTAGTCGATTTCAATAGTGTCTCGTTTGTCCTTGACTAAACGCGTTTTTTTAAACTCGTTTGATGTTGCTTGAGATACTAATAAGCCTTATACCGGAGCCTGGAAAGGGGTTAAGTTATATGGTAAAATTTGAAAGTTTACAGTGTCTCTGTGACAGTTTTTGATTTAGTGAATAAGAGTTCGCTTAGCGAAGTTGCGGGTGTACCCTTCCGTAGATAGACAAATACCTAAGGAGTGCGAAGAGCTTCTCTCTTCCCTCCTTGCGAACAATCTATTCCTTGATCCCCACCATAACAGTCTCGCTATTAGTAAATTATCCACGTATTTATCTGGGAATGCTTCGACTATCGGGGATTGTTACTTTGTATTATTGTAAAATCGTAGGATTTGTCGTCTATCCCGCTGTCTAGTTATCTTAGTACTTTATTTGTACTTAATATATATGTTATGGCACGAGACGATTATTAGATAGCAAGCAAAAGTTCTATTTCCTAGCCCCAATTCTGCTACCAAGAAACCCTTTTTACAAAAAGGTAGAAATTCATTTAAGGTATATAAATATAACCTTATCTGTCTTTCTATACTATATAACGAGATGATTTTAGCGGCAGCGTCGGTACATTCGGGTTCTTAGGTGGAAAGGAGGCCAGTCATGTGATATTGTTCAAGACAGTACGGCATACACATACATATTTAGATACAACACTATATTTCTTGGAACCCCGTATAAATATAATACAAAAGACGTTATAATATCACCTCACTAGGTTAGTGGAACCAACAGGTAGGCTCATTTAAGCCTCCTTAGGACGACAAAGAAGCGGCGGTAAAAGTTTACTATACAAGCAGCACCGACTGACTTGTCGGTTAGTACTCGACTATACGCAAAATTGGATTTGCAATGAGTCGATCGTACTGCAAATTATCTTCTCCAATTCTGGTTGAATGAGAGAATTTTAAGTTATATGGAGAGCGCAGGCGGATTGAAAAGAGTGGGGTGAAGAGATGAGAATTGATTTCACAAAGAGACTCCTATGATTACCTAGTTGAGCTATATTGTAGAAGTTGGTAATAGTCCGCCTACAAACGCTTTCAAGATCCTGCTCCCACTCTATATAATGCGGTTTTGATGGTGGAAAAGTGTTGTATAAGAGGAAAAAGCGTTCGGCAACTAGAATTCCATTCCATTCCAGGAACCCCCTCTAGAAGGATTCCATTCCATTTGATATAATAATAGAAGGATTGTATTCCAGACCCCCTTATTCCATGGAATTTATAGTATTTCTAGCTGGGATTTATCATATGATTAGGACCAATAGGAAGTCTCCATTTAGGTGCAACGGTGTTATAGAGCAAGACTAGCTAGTATAGTGTACCTTCCGTATATAGAGCTGGACTATAGGCCTAGACTAGGTACATGTATCTATAACATAACCTCTTATACTAATAGCGGCGGGTAAGATAGTAATACATGTCACGTGAAAGTACCCTTAACTAGGTAGTCCCGAGGTCGTCAATTGTGATATTCATTGTGTTCCTACCTATGTATTTACTTAAATTGGAATTCCAGTTTTCCATGGAATTCTAGCGACCAATCAATAGAAGTATTCCAGATGGAATGGAATCCATAGAATTCCATGGAATACGTTCCATTTGCCGATCGCTGAGAGGAAAAGAGAGGAGGAAGGGGTTATATCTTGGGTGTGTCAGGGGTTTGTACCTTGCTCGGCCACCTTGCATACCATCCTCTGATCCTCCGAGGTGATCGCTCGAAGGATGACCTCGGGAGGAAGAGAACGCTGTCGGATCTGATTCGGTACTACCTTCCTTGTGGAATTGATTGTAAAATCCGAAGCATCGACTGATTGCCCTTATTAATAACAAGAATTAATTTTGCCCTATCCATGCTTCTACCTCGCCAGGGTCCAACAAATTTTCATCCAACGCATCCTACGCTCCAGGAAGCTACCGGAACAGGAGAAAGATCCAACATACTTCAGTTGATATGCTATAAGCAAGCTCGAATTGGAATCCAAGCTTTCTTCACTGCAGAGATCAGAGAGACATTGTCTGCTGAGGATACAGCTGCAGCTGTTAGATTTATGTTGCAGAAACGAGGGAATATTATGATTTACCCATCACGACGATTGATTATGTATATTTCACGTTTCTTCAATATTCAAAACAAACATTTCATGTGAAGAATAGGTCATAGTGTATAAGTCACCACATAATCGCGTAAGTGACGACGGCAAGTGTCCGCTACTGAATAGCCCCAAGTGCAAACAAAGTTACTCTTTTCTTAGAACATGCTGAAACATTCCACATCAATTTCTACTACGGGTGGTCAAATCTATTGTTTTTGTGACTGTTATCCCCGTTGTTGGCACCACCTCGAGATCCCTTTGCCCGACCGAGACCTCTGGTCTTTGGTTGGCAAATCCTATACCTCCACGATTCTCCCTCGCAGAGTCGTGATCTTTTGGATTCTCAGCTAAGCGACAATCGAGCCCGTTATCAATCCCAACTGCCTCGAGATCATCTCCAAGCCTTTTGAAGCTCCGGTTTGTCGTTAGCTTATCCCGGCCGTAGGCGCTCAGCGGATAATCTGGGCTGGGATGATCATTTGAATAGGTTGCCCAGCTGAGCTTTGGTCGTACTCGCTCTAAAATTGGTTTGAGGAGCAACAGGCAGCCATTTACAATCCCGAGGTTCGGTTCCAATGTAAGGAATATTGCATTGACAGCAATCCAGAAAGTCGAATTGTGGGGGTTGCGGATAAGTGAAAAGGTAAAGACAATCCGAAGAGCTGTCATTACGCAAATTCTTCTCTGGAGTCAGCAAAGATCTTCTCGAATTGGGTGATCACAGGACTATACATTATACCTAGGCTAAAAATGCCTATCAATGCTAGTCTCTTATGCCTGGGCATTTTCAGATTCCAGACCAACGGCATTGGCATAACAACGATAATCAAATCAGTAACCAAGTTTAGAAATGCTACCAGCAAAATCCCTAGGTTTTGATTGCCGCATTTTCCACCCTCAATTGTCTTGTCCCATTGAAAGGAGAATGGCCGACAAATGGCAAGACACTGGATTGTGTTTCCCACACCAAGCATTATAACGACCACTATAGCGGTGTCTGCAGCTCTCCGGAAACTTCTTAGTGCAAAAATATCTTTATACACGAGAAGAATCGAAACCTTCACTGCTGTGTTGGCTGCAGCCCAAAGGGTTTCGGCAGCTGGTAATAACTTGCTCTCGTTAGCAATAGAAGTATAATTAGACCCACGGATCCAAACCTGAAGAGTCAAAGTAATGCTTTCTTTCGAGACAACTTTTTGATCCTGGCCTAATCCACCGATTGTAACAACTAAGCCAATCAGTTGTTGCGCATGCCGTTTGACTTCTACGATAGAGAAGAACCTACAGATAACAATGATAATGGTAAGGCCGAGCGAGAAGATCTGAAATCCTTAGTAGCCTTCCTCAAAAGCAGAATGTGATTCTACCCAGCCCACAAACAATAGCCAATCATTCAATGCGAGTGGTGTAGTTTTAATATGTCTGACCCATAATCGGAGTGCAATCGCCACAACAGCCAAAAAAAGTGAGAAAGCACTAGAGAAAAGAAGCGTGATGCCGGCTGAATCGCCTCTTCCATCTGGTGGAATAATCGTATAAGTCATCGTTGTTTAATGTAGCAACGTAGCTAAATAACACAGAAAAGAAGGTTCTTGTGGGTCAGAAGCTTGGAGAACACAACCGCTTTACAAATAATGCTCCGTTGAAGATGGTAATTTCACCAAAAAGTGCAAAAAGGGTGTGCCCCATGTCCATCCACTCTTACGATTATCCTCATTTCTTTTATGCAGCGCCAACCAAGCGGCGCAGTAAGGTAGTAATGGAACGTGGGGGACCGATGAGTTTCCTACCATGCTATAATCCTAGGACGAAACTCGGTGAGGTCTCGTAATCGCAAGAACGCACCCAACTTGGTTCTTTACCTATGAAATATCTAGGTTACTTTGAATCATGTTGTTTGAAAGAGAGGGGCAACGGGGAATTGTAAACTCTCCTTAAGGCAGGTCGATGCACCCTGGCTGGTTTTTTGGTTAATGACTTCCAGAAAGGCTCAAGCCGATCCATCCTTCCGGCTGTTCGAAAGTGGTCCCCGGCCTTTCATGCAGGTTTACAGGCCACAATTAGAACTGACTGTTAGAAGTAATTGATGATGGTTACGATCCCGTCGATCAGTTACTCCCGTAAGCTATGATGTGCATAATCTGTAACGATCATACCAGGGGCCGTTAGAACTCTTAAGAAGTCCTCGATTTTGGCTGGAAATACACCAAAAACGCTCCGCTCAACCAAATTATAATAAACCAAAGAACAATACGAATGGCCTGTGTTTAGGTACCTAGATAAAGGACAGCCTTAGCTACTATATATACTATATAGAACTTTATTAAGAGGGGCTCTTCTGTTGTACTATCAGACTAATAAATCTGTTATTGGATTTACTAAAAGGATATTTTCTATTAGAATATACTTAGAATCGTTGAGCTTTAAAGCAGACGTTTAATACCATTCATATATACGTTCTAAAGATTCGATATAAGACATAGTACATACTGTTTCAATATAAAATTATGTAGGTTTACAAAAACGGAAGTCTCAGCGTGTTTTCGGCCACAATCCGGGATTACTTCCATAATCCTGACAACCACCTTGGTGATCATTCTCAAGAAGAGACATGCGATTGTGGGACCCGTGAGATTACAATGCATACTGAACTATTGGTGACTTTTCTCTTCCAGTTATACTGCTACAGTTGGATGCAAAGAAGAGATACTCTTCACATACTAATCTTTTTATAGATTCAATAAATTCATGGCATATATTAAGGTAAGCGGTGTTCACTGCTTTCGCTGCAACAAGAATCATGGCGAACTACCGAGACTTGGCTTATCATGGCTATTCAATTTGGCTTTTCACTAGAAGCGACCTCAAAACCATCATTGGTCCTACTACAGCGTTTGGAATTTTCAATGGTCTAGCTGCCTCAGCCTATGGTCTTCATTCCCCGCATGTGCACACATCAACTATCCTCAAGAGAGTTCCCATGGTCACATTTTGGGTCTGGATCAATCTTCTGCCACACGCAATTGATAACCAACTCTCACAAAAAGCAATCTCTGAGGACGCTTACAACAAACCCTGGAGAACTTTGCCTTCCAAACGCATGACGCCAAAACAAGCTAGCGCCTTACGCCTCCCTCTTTTCACTTTTGCGCTCCTTAGTAGCTGGAATTTTGGGGGCGTACGTCAATGTATCGTTCTGGCCTGCCTTGCAAGGTGGTACAATCACATGGGTGGGGGTGACATCAATGCAATAGTACGGAATTTTATCAACAGCGTTGGATATATATGTTTTACCTCTGGCTCCCTTGAAGCTATCCTCGGCAATATTCGACTGCCTGATCAGTCTCTTCCATGGTTCTTGGTGTTGGGAATGGTGGTTTTTAGTACCGTTCAAACACAGGATTTCTCGGATAGCATTGGAGACAGTGTCCGAGGCAGAAAGACGTTACCATTGCAAATTGGAGATCGTCGTGCAAGGATCTTGACAGCGACTCTAATGATATTCTGGTCGTGTTTCTGCACGTGGTTTTGGGGCCATCGAGGGCTGGTCGGAGGAGTTCCTCTTGTGGTGTTAGGATGTTACATCGCTTACCGGCTAATGGGAAAACGTAGTATTGCTCAAGATAAGACAACCTTTCTATTTTGGAACATGTGGATAGTTATTCTCTATATATTACCTCTAATTTCTATAGCCTCTTCTACTAGCTAGCTTAAATCAAGAGTTCTAGATATTATATATAAAGGTTATAGTATTTAACTCTACCTAGAATTCATATCAAAGGAAGCAATATATCTAATCCTCTGTTAAATTGAAAACCCCTGATTAAATTATAAATTTCATTATTACTAATACCGGTCTATTCTTTCTCCACGCTCTTAAACAATACAAGTATAGAGAAATATAAATATTGTTAAAATTACTAATTTTCTTATTAGTTTACTATACTTTCTTCCACTATAATATAATTATGATCTTTTGAAGTTCGCTTTCTTGAATTTTTTAAAACAATTATATTATATACCCACAATGAGTAAATGTATTACTTTTGATTTTATACCTGTAGTTTAGCTTGGATTATTCCGTAGACGCTTAAGTAAGCTTTCTCCGCTCCTACGCCTTCGAGCTGCAGATTAGTGGCATGCACTTGAACCCCAATATTGATCACCAACGGCTGATCTTGTTATGATACTAAGAAAATCTGCTTTGGTTTGTACACGCATCTATCGTTCGACAGTTCAATCCTTCCCCGCTCCTTTTCCTCCAGGTTGCAGATTAGTGGCATGGATAAGCGGCATGCACGTTGACCCTGATATCGACCACCAACAGTTGGTCTTGTTATAATACTCCGAGAGTCTTCTTTGTTTGTTCATACATCCATCGTCCGACAGTTTAAAAGATTGTTACAACATACGCACACCAAGAATGTCTGGATTGCCCAACGCAAACAAAGGCTCACGCCTCCTTCCAGCTGTCCTCGACCACACAGGCACAGAAACCCCTAATAGAGTCTACGCTTCCGTTCCCCTCACCCATGAAATCGCGGACGGCTTCCGGGATCTCACACATGGTGAAGTTCTCCGTGGCGTTGATGCCTTAGCAACATACATCGCCTCCAGGTTTGGAGTGAGTAAAACCTTCGAGACGTTAGCATACATGGGTATTTTTGACCTCAGGTACACTCTGATTTTCTTTGCTGCTGTAAAATGCGGCTACAAAGTTCTGTTTCCTTCATCACGAAACCCAACCCATCAGAATGTTTCGCTGCTTAAGCAGACGGGTTGCAATAAAATCTTTCACTCGTCAGAAATGGAAGGTATCGTGAGAGAGTTACAGAAAGCAATGGATCATGATATACTCGAGACTTTTGATCTGGGATCATTTGATAAATGGGTGGAGGCTTACGTCGAACCTTACCCATTCACAAAAACCATTGAAGAGGCGAGGTTCGATCCTATTCTTGTACTGCACTCTTCCGGATCGACAGGAGCACCAAAACCGATCACCCAAACCCATCAATACTTTGCCAATGTCGACCGGCCACTTCCCCAGATTCCTGGTCGGCAGACGGCTGGGGAGATCCTTTGGAACTACGAAGGAGGTGGATACTTCCTGTGTCCGTTTCCTCCCTTCCATCTTGCTGGTTGTATATCTTATATATACCATCCGGTTTTTGGCCAGTCGTGCTCTTTATTATTGGGCTTCCCTGATCGACCAGCATTGCCAGAGTTGGTTCTTCGCATGATGCAACAGAAAAGGGTTCGCTTACTGTTCACACCGCCTTCAATCGTTGAAGGAATGCTCGCACTAGACGGTGCAATCGAGCTCATTCAAAAATTAGACGACATTGTTTACGCTGGGGGGCCATTATCCAAAGCTGCAGGTGAACATCTTGCAAAACTGACTCGTTTGTCTCCAATTTGTAAGGGAAGTCCTTGAAATCATCCAGTCATAAGTACTAACTTGGTTGGAACAAGATGGAGCTACAGAAACGGCCACCATCACATGCCTCGTCCAACCACCAGAAACATGGCAATACATGGAGTTCCACCCGGCTCTGAAAGTTACCATGGAACCAGAACTTGACGGCGCCTTTGAACTGGTTTTAAAGAGAGATGCTGATGCCGATCAATATCGTGGTATCGGTGGCACAATTTTGAGGCAGCAGCCCGAGTATCGAACTCGGGATCTTTTTCTCCCTAATGAGAATCGACCTGGTCTATGGCGTTTCTGTATGTTCTGGTATCATAATTCATTTCATTTCCAATCACTAACAAGATGTCTAGACGGTCGTAACGACGACATTATTGTGTTTTCAAATGGGCAAAAATGGAACCCGATCCCATCCGAGAGCATTATCGAAAGCCATCTTGACGTTTCGGGAGTCCTGATTACTGGTGACGGGAAATTTCAACCAGCAGCAGTTATCGAACCTAAGCCAGGTGCAGCAACGAAAGACTTGTTGGGCGCAATTTGGCCACTCGTCGAGCAAGCCAATCAGAATTCTCAAAGTCATGGTCATCTGATGAAAGGTAAAGTGGCGATTGTAGAGGCAGGAGATTTTATTCGAGCACCCAAAGGCACTATTGTTCGATCCGCAACTCGCAAGAAGCTTGAACGAGTGATTGAGCAGTTATATTCCGAGCCTGGACCGACCGCAGAGACTACGAAGGAAGTGCTTTCGGAGAATCTGGAGGGCAAGTCGAAAATTTTCCAGCTTGTGAAGAAATGCACTCATGAGTTTGAGAAGTTTGCTTCTGCGAGCGAAGACGATGATCTGTTCAAACTTGGTCTCGACTCTTTGATGGCCCTTGAACTCTCCAAGTCCCTCCGAACATGCTTGTCGGTCTACTTTGACCAAAAGGAACTTTCATTCATCACAATACTCACGTTGTTTCGATTTCCGACTATCAAAAAGCTAGCTGATGCTATTGCTGCCACTGTCTGGGGGAAATCACCGGATGTGAATCCTGAGAATGTTCAAGAGGATATCGAAAGGCTCATTAGAGCTTACACCTCCAATGACAAGCCCAACCAGACTGTTCCGAAGATGGCCGTCGATGGTCACTTGCATGTCGGATTAGTAGGATCAACTGGATTTCTCGGCAAGGAGCTTTTAGCAAGTCTGATCAAGCGTCCAGGTATTGATAAAATTACATGCATTGATCGTAGACAGCATGAAGCACTTCCTTCAGCCCAAGAGAACACGGAAGTAGAGTTCAAAACTATAACTCTGACTGATATGAGCGTTGAAGACATGCAAAAGGATCAAAGCATGTACGAGACAATGGACGCCATAGTCTTCAGCGCTTGGACAGTGAACTTCAACCAACCCCTCTCATTCTTCGAGCCTCAAATTCGTGCTTTATCAGCACTCTGCACTGTTCTGGTATCCTGCAAAAACAGTCCACGACTATTCTTCATCTCATCAATCTCGTCGTCAAACTGCACACTCGAGTCAAAGGAATTTCACATATCCGAAAAGGTCTTGAAGACCGCCTCGGCTGCGATGCCGATGGGCTATGCACAGTCGAAATACGTCGCTGAAAGGGTTCTGGAAGAGTTTGCGCGACGCACTGGCTTAGGCGTGACTATCCTTCGGTTGGGACAGGTTGCGGGTGGGGTTCCGACAGATGACAATCCAGGTTCTCCTGCCTCGTGGAATGAGCGAGAATGGTTTCCTTCTCTCATGAAGACTTCTGCACAATTAGCTCTTATACCTTCGGATTTGGGGCCAGTGGATTGGATACCAGTCAACCTCATGACTAAAAGTATCACCGAACTAATCTCACACGACGTCTTCAGCAAGAAACCCAACTCCCCTCAAGTTTACAATCTCTTGAATCCAAATCCCGTGGAATGGCCGCGGTTGCTACCAGCCATTCAGGCGTATCTTTCAAGTCAATGTGAGATAGTTCCACTTGCGGACTGGATCGAAAGTTTGAGAAAAAGAGAGATGGAAAACCAAGCGGCGGAAAAGTATCCTGCTCTGAAGATCATGGGATACCTGCAAGAAACAATGAGTATCTCTGGACAAGGGAGTACGGTTGACATGGATCTTACGAGGAAAGCAAGTGTAACATTGGATCAAATGCGGCCTGTCAGTGAGGATTGGATGAGACTGTGGCTATCCTCCTGGGCGAACTTAGAATGATTTGGGCGTGTGAATGACTTGGTTTTACAGGGTTCCAAGAATATAAGTAGATAAGACGCGGAAAAAATATGACCGTCTTACCCTATGTGCATTCAATGAGGTTATCCTCTACGCAAAAGACCACTTAGAAGATCCAATCAAGAGTAAGACTTCGAACCAGTGTTCATGAACAAAGGGACAGCCGGCTACGATCTCGTGTCTCTGTAGAAAGTGAAGTGTCTTGGGACTGTCGTCGCTAAATGCCACATCTCCTTGGCGGTAAACTCGTTTGCCATCCTTCATAAGTGTGCACCCTAGTTAACTTTCTTAGATAAGATCAGGTGAAAGAACAAATCTGGGCAAGGTGACTGTAAAAAGCAGACTTAAAATGGTTGCAAAATCGTGTTTCTATATCATCTCCAATTAGTGTTGTGCAATGAAATCAAGTATCCACCTATGAAAACACATTTTCGCAATAGACAGAAACAAAAGGGTTGAATAATTCCATGATTGTCGTAACTTTCAGTATACCTACAGATTTTGAAATTGTTCCCACGGCTTCGAGTAACAACCGATTAAATTAACCAAAATTTCTCAGGAAATTTAAAGCAATCTCTCTGAAGGGTTTGTACAATCACTTCAGTCTTCAGTCTTCAAGTAATCTAGAAAGAAGGAACAACAACGGATCCCTCATCCTGTCCAACTGGAGGCACTGTTCAGTGACATGATCTTGTCAGATTTGTTTTCAAAGAGTGACACCAGAATACGGATCTCCGTTTGTCATTCAAAGGATAGCTGCCCTAGATCGCATGAGAGCACTGCCAACTTGCAAGTTTCATCCGGGTAATCCTGTAGTACGATAATTGTCTTGTTGCACGTTGACTCTTGAACAGCAAACAATATGTGACACAGGCTGTTCCAGGGAGTTGAAATAGCAGGGTAAACTAGACTCAGAATACTTTCAAATTCTTCCTTCCAATCAGATTATCTCAAGCACCAAACTCAGAAACATGGCCCTCACTGTGATTCTAGTTGTTGTTGCCATAGTTTTGTCAATCGTCGGCCTTTTTTGCGGATTCCTCTGCCTCAAGTCTGTAGACTACTCGAGTCGAAGGAGGAGGAACTATGGCCGGCCATCTACCCCCATTCCTATAGGTCCAATGAATAATCCTCCCTGTGGAAGTGGAACTAACTGGAGGAATTCATGGCGGCGGAACAAACACAGGTAAGTCAAAGACTGGTGGTCCCTAAAGGCAGCTCCGAATCGAAGGATTCTAAAATAGTGTCCCAAAGCAGGAGGAAATCAACCAAATAGTCCCCAAGCTGGCAGTCCGCAACCGAGAAGCCCTCATCCAGGCAGTCCTCGAGTTCTCAGTCCTCAGCCAGGCAATGCTCAACCAACCAACTCGAAAGCCGGTGGCAATTCACAAGTGGTTCCAATGGTACCTAAAGTGTAGAGGGATCCCCACAAAGCTTTGTTGCAGCTCAAAGCCATTGATCCAACAGTGACAAGTACTCTACCCTTTCCAAGTCGGCAATTTCCACACCGCCACGCTTACACAAACACAGTGAGCAAAAGGCCAACCCTCCCTCAAGACGACCAATTTCGATATATAGTTGTGCTATCCCTTATTTCTGACGGTCGTTGACATCATGCCAAGCATTAAGGCCATCATCTGCTTGAATTGTTTTCTGAGGCTTTGATCTGTAGTGCTTCATCCCAAATCACCATCATCTCCAGCTTCAAGCATAAAGCCCGGGCTCCAATACCCCCACTCTTCGGATTGCATGTCAACCCACAACATACTTTCAGAAACCAAGTCATCAATCGCTGTCTTCGCTCGTGCCCTTGGCCATTTTAGATTCAACATCAGCATGGAAACGCTGACATAGCCAAGCATCTGAGCAGCTTCCAGAACGGCACTTTGATCTGTGTTGAGTTCTTTGGGAATGGAACGAATATATAGTTTGTGGCCAACGGTGAGCGTTGAATAGGAGGATCCAAGAGGCTTGAGAGTGTTTACTGCACGGAGGATATCATCACTGCACTATGTTAGCCCTTGTTCATTATTACAACCTGGCGTTTCACTTACTCAGTAATTTCTGACGAGCCCTCCATTCTTGTACTCATAATTCTATCTCTAACTTCTTTGACACCAATAAGTCCGCCATTTTCTTCTCTGGTGGCACCACAAACTTCCACGACTTTGACGGCAAGTTCAAAATAAAAGTCATTCACACTTCCCCCAAGCATCTGAGCCCAGAAACTCCCTCCTCCATCCTTGCCACTACTACCACTGCTACTTGCAAGAGGATCAACACCAATAGCTGAACACATCCTGGCAAACTCAGCCCGAAAGTTTGGGTTTGATCGGATATCCTTTGCATGAGTCTGAGCAAACTGCTGGAGAAGAGAACGGAAAACGGAGAGTTGCGTTGCTAGAGATGTGGAATGTGAACTTCTGAGAGTATTACCGTGGGAAGCATATTGAGCGGAGGTGATTTTTGAGCGATCAAACGCTGCTAGACCGACACCTTTACGTGACATGTTGAAGACTGTATATTGATGTGGTTGTGAACCGATTCACGCTAGAGTTGCTGATGTTGTACCACACCTTTGAACCTGAGGTAGATATTGGAGTATCACGTGGGGAGCGGGGCGCAATCCCAATATGGTTAGCGCTCGCTTGGAATCCCACCAAATGCACCATCGTCCAGAATCTCAAAATTTCAAAAAGAAACCAAAATCTTGTCAACCAGCACTCACGATGTCGACACAATCCGTCCAATGCTTCGGCAAGAAGAAGACTGCTACGGCAGTTGCGCGATGCACGGTATGTACGAATTCCCGAAAAAATTGGAGGGCAGAGGACAGGGGGAGAATTGATGCCTTGGTTGAATGTGCACCAAAACCCGCGACCATACGATTCATCCCAGCGGCCAAAGGGAAAGCGAAAGAGAAAGAGAAAATACTGACGAGTCAAAAAGGCAGGAAAGGGCTTGGTTAAAGTTAATGGAAAGCCATTAAACCTCGTCCAGCCAGAAATCTTGCGATTCAAGGTCTACGAGCCACTCCTCATCGTCGGTCTCGAGAAATTCGCCAACGTCGATATCCGCGTCAGAGTCACCGGTGGTGGACACGTCTCCCAAGTCTACGCCATCCGTCAAGCTATCTCCAAGTCGCTCGTTGCATACTACCAGAAATTCGTCGATGAGCACTCCAAGAACGAGTTGAAGCAGGCCCTTGTCCAATACGACCGAACACTGTTGGTTGCAGATAACAGACGATGCGAGCCAAAGAAGTTTGGAGGTGAGTTGTTCTATGCGACAATGTTCGGAGTAATGCTGACAATTTTTTCCACAGGTCCCGGAGCCAGAGCCAGATACCAAAAGTCTTACCGTTAAAGCATGGATTTCGCATGGGGTTCGGGTTTGGGAGAATGGTTTCTGCTGAATTTTGCATTGGACGGGCTATGCTATTTGCTGCTTGTAGGGTTTCTAGGCAAATGAAATGCAAAGCTATTCCGCCAAGCATAGGAGTTGAGAATTGAACAATACGGAACCACAAATCGTGCCTGGATTTTTCATGTGAGGTATTCCAAGCACAGCCGTGAATTACGACTTATCACGAAAGCCCACGAATCTGACAACTTAATTGGCAATGTTGTTTCATGGATTGAGTTTCTGCAATGGAGACCCGGCTTGTGTATACCAAAATTAATGACATTACGAAGAACCCAGCTCAAATGATTCGATCCGCTTCTGGGGATTGAAGATTTGCAAACTCCCTTTAGATATCAACTAATTCGCAGACTAGTGACCAGTAACGATAAATTACAGACAGGTAGGATTGGATAGGCGCCATTTAACACAGGCAGCTAGCTGGTGGCAGAGTGAGTAACTTTGCATACGACCTATCTGGGCCGTATTGCCCAATTCGTAAAATCCTCACCTCCCAGTTGTTGAATGTGCATGTACTGACAGATCTGGACACCCTTCAATCTCAACTCCAATTTATGGCATCAAAGTTGGCATAGCAAGCTGTCTCTCCTCACCTTACCTCTCTAGATGACATCAATAACCTTCAAGCTCTTTCGAGTAAGCCAGTCTAACCGTCCCAAAACTTCCTATTATCTGGGAGAAAGGTAGAGCAAAGAGTACTTCAGTACCGGCTTTACTGTTCTAATGCTGACACTTGTATGTTCTAGCAATGGGTTCATACTCAGCGCGCAACTCTATGCCCTTCTCGGGAGAACTATTCATGGGGCTTCTTCTGCTGGAAGTTGGCCAGCAATTGATGACTGTTCTTACATACAGCCGATTTAGGATAATCACAAACGCCATGATGGAAAGCTTTCTAGGCTCAATTGAAGGCTAGCAAGAACCTGTACCATTTAATCGCAATCGTGACGCCAATAGAGTCTTCGAAAGTAGTATTACCTCAAAGACGGACAGTCGTCTACGAGATATGGGAGTTCCACTCATCATTGGAATCTGCGTACTGAATCGAAGGATTCAGCATTGCTAGCTACGTCTTCATCTTCAACTATCTATCTCTATGCATGAACCAAAACACCAGTCCAATCCACAAAACACCCCATCACTTCTTAATATTCTGCAAAATAGTCTTCATCATCTCATTACCAACCTTCGTCGCTTCCCCGAACCTAGGCTCGAAGAATCTCTGCGTACTCTCAAACCGATCCTTCCAGCTCTCGAAATCGCCAAAAGTAACACAATCACTCCATCCCCGCGCCGCAAAGGTAAACTCCAAGTCGTCACTCCGGAACGTGTTATCGTCAATAGCGATCCGGATAACATCATCCAGCAATCCCGGCTTGCGGAAGAGATACTCAGTCACTCCCAACCAGAGACGGAACAGAGGCGTGGAGCAGATCATGTGATCGTAAGGAACGATATTGAGTTGGGACCAACAGTCTACCATTGCCAGAAGAGAGAGATGGTTATTGGGAAGAGGAGTTTCGGGTTTCTTGCCGAGTGAGAAACGGTCGAGGACGGAGTCTTGGAGGAGGAGTTGACCGTCCCATTCCCGGGTCCCAAAGACGCTTGCACCTGCTTTCTTGATTCTTTCCTCGAACTCTTTGTGATGTCCGCCAAGCATTAGCTTGTATAAATCAGTCACACTTTGGGCGTATTGTCTGATCTGTTCTTTGGCATAGGGATTGAGGATGGCGAGACCGGCATAGACGTGCCACTTTTGAGAGTATATTCGGAGGGTTAGATTGATCTTCACATTCTCAATTCCACCGACGTATCGGGCAATTTCCCAAGGAAATTGTGCGTTTGCGTGCCAGGCTTTTCCCATGGAGAGGAAGGCGGCGTGGGTGACAGCTTGGGTATCGGCTGTGATGCGGTCATGTTGGGCGGCAGAGAGATAGACTTGCTTCGAATTCAGGCAAGAGAGGACCTTCTTGACTTTCTCAAAACTCACTTCCGATGCCCGGTGCTTGATGATAACCTGGAAATTGGGAGTAAGTGTTTGGTCTGTTTTTAGTTGCGAAATCCACCTACGAGTGGCTGGCCACTAGGATCAACAGCTGGTCCATGGAGGGAGTGGCATGAGACAATGTCTACATCAGCTGGCAGATGTTTCTCGAAAGCAGCAATTTCAGGAGCTTTGCAAGATGTTTGCCCCCCAACAATTGCGTTTTTCTTGGTAGCTGCTCCAGGATCAGTGAGAGTTCCCTAGATGAGATTGTATGGCATGCATACACGGCCCATACATGGCGACAACTTTATCAATTGATGCGGCTTCAACATTATAGATTATGTAGTCGCTGGCACGGGAGACGAGATGTCCGTTTGGAAGGATTTTAATTTGCTTCTAGAAGTACTCAGCACTGGGTGCAGGGCTATGGCTATGTACAAGGTGTGTTTACTATATGCTCAAACTCCTCACAAAGACCTTGGTATTTTTCCTCTCTATCGCAAGCATTGATACTGCAGACCAAAAATCAGCCGAGTGAAAGTGCGCGGACGACCTGAGAAACATCATGTTAGCTTATGCTGCACCAAGTAACTGGCAGAAAAGGTTGAAAAGATGTGTTGGTTATTCAGACAAATAAAAATAAGGTAGCTGAGATTTTTCATCAGTGAAAGCCAGCCGCCAACTTGGTAACAGAATGTTATTCAAGCAGCGAAAGACAATACTCGAGCCAAATGCACTCAAGTCATCATTGTAAAGAGGAGTCTCGACGGGCGAGAGAGGGTGTGAGGGCGCTTACCATAATCAAGTCGCCCGGCAGCAATAACGCCTGGAAGGGAGAGCTACCTCCATCCAGCATCACTGAGCCTCCGAGCATACATCTTGCCCATGTCACCGAGCCCGATGATTCCAATCGTGAAGTCGTCCATGGTCGATTGCGATTGTGATTACGATTGCGCTATGGTTGGTGTGCCAGGAGTGTTGTAGAAATGAAAGCAACCCGTCCCCCTCAACCATTGACCTTGACCCGTTGGACGACGTGGACGAGAATCAGAGAGTTCATTTGTGAAACCGTATCTGTTGTGCAGCTTGAAGAGGATTGGGGAGCAGGAAGGAAAAGTTTCGCGCAAAAAGAACTTAGTACTCGACCCCCGCCACGCTAGCGACCGATTGAGACTAGCCCCTGGGGAACTCTTGGCGTGGCCGCACACAACCACAACTCTGACATTTTGGAACAATCTTTCGAAATCGTGCTGTTCCTACCCCAATATCTTCCCTTCAACGACATCGACAACCAAAATCAACCAAAATGGCACCAAAGGCAAAGGCCGCTCGTCCAGCACAGGAGAACATCTCCCTCGGCCCCCAAGTCAGAGATGGTAAGTTCCCATTTCCCCTCGTTCTTCAAGCAAAAAAATCGAACCAAAACTCACAAAACGTGCAGGTGAACTCGTATTCGGTGTTGCCCGTATCTTCGCATCTTTCAACGATACCTTCGTCCATGTCACCGATCTCAGGTCCGTGAGCCCTTGAATACTCGTGGAGGAACATTATGCGAATTTTTATATGTGCAAAAATAAGTGGAATGGTCCATAGGCTGACTTTCTGGGTGATTCCAGTGGCCGCGAAACCATCACTCGTGTCACCGGAGGCATGAAGGTCAAGGCCGATCGTGATGAGTCTTCTCCATACGCCGCTATGTTGGCTGCTCAAGATGTTGCTATTCGATGCAAGGAATTGGGTATCAACGCTCTTCACATCAAGATCCGTGCCACTGGAGGTAAGCTACTGGGTCAATTATCTCAACCAAGAGGCATATACTGATATATCAACAGGTAACGGAACCAAGACCCCAGGTCCAGGAGCTCAATCCGCTCTCCGTGCTCTGGCCCGTTCAGGAATGAAGATTGGCAGAATTGAGGATGTCACCCCAACACCATCCGACTCCACCCGTCGCAAGGGAGGTCGCCGTGGTCGTCGTCTTTAGATTACTGGTTTTATGGCTGGTTGCATGGCATGGTATTTGGGTTTCACAGTGGGAATAGACACGACGCGGAGGACGGCAATAATCGCCCGACCTCCAGATTTACTCAGACGATAGCTACTGCAGCTGCGGAAAATCAAAAATTCTTGCAGAAACTTCTGGTTCCTTTTCTGTGAAATATAATCCGTCTGTAGCTTTATTGACAAATTACTGATCCTGCCATATTGAAGTCCTGTCCATGCCATTGCCATTATTGCCAGTTTCCTTCCAGCCTCCTTGCCAGTTCGTGATATCATTAACTTGTACAATCATTTCGCCATATGCCATAATTTGAGACCAACTCCAAACGAAATTCCCCCAATTGCCTTGAACTCCAAGCTGATATAGCGACTTTCGTATCCTGCTTCATTCTGCCACTGTAGAACCATGCGAGATGAACTTTGGGGTCGAAAGAAAAAAAGCCGAAAGAAGAAATTCGAGAGAAGAAATGTGTGCTGCACTTGCTGAAGCCTAAAGAAATCGGCGAAGACTTGATAGAAGATCTAACTGAAATTCCATCTAACCGACACACGAGAAGCACGACGGCTCTTTGCCTTCCTACCACCTAAGAACAACCCCAGGTTAGAAAACAAACTCAGAAATGTATGAGACCTTTTTCGCGCCCGTTGTCGTCCAGTTCTACCATTACTGGCGCAAACTCACCTCGTTCATCTTCAGCTTGAAAGTCGTTGAGTTCAGCGTCGATCCAAGTGCCGTCTTCGAGTTGGTATTTTCCAGATCGTACATAATTGGCGCGCAAATCCCAGTCCCACTTCCACAACCATGTCTCCAGCTCTAAAAATGCTTTTCCAACGGCCGATTGCTCCAAGCTAATGTTTGCGCCAAGTTCCAACAACATCTCGTTAAGTCGCGCCTTGAATTTTGTCAGGATGGGCTTCAGATCATCGCTCAAGTTTGGTTCATGATCAAGAATGCTGCCCTCCAATCCTTCGTCGTCATAAATAAATTGCGTATGGATGGCCTCGATGAACTTTCGGAAGAAGACAGGCTCTTGCAGAACCAAATCATATGCGCCAAAAACCATTCTCACAACATGGCTCCATTGTTCCATACAGGCAACGTTTCCGAGAAGCATGCCGGTAATGAAGCAGAATTGGACTTCACCAATAATCTCGTCCGGGTCTCCATGACTGCAGTTAGTGCTGATTATCTTGAGAATGTGCGAGGTCGAGTCCATTGCTTGTTCTGTACGGGTGCGTCCAAGTGATTCCTCAGAGAAAGTTCTCTTGTACTGTGGAAAAGTGAAGCGAAGGACTTCGTCGCGATAGTTGGAAAGAAGAACTTCGCCGCGGTGGTTTTCCATGGAGAGCTCCAAATTATTGGCTGGTGAAGTCTTGTAAAGGTGATCATGAACCGAACAGACTTGCCAATTGTTCCATCCTTTATTTCCCGTGATTCTGTTGAGTAGTACTCCAGTGATTGATGATACCAAGCGTGGCCACAAGTTTGGGTCGCTTGCAGCAGCCGTACCTGGTTGGGCTGAATGTGCTATTGCAGTCGTATTGACAGTTGGAATCATGTATGTTTGTAATTTGTCGTATATCTCTGGGAGATCCTCCTTTTGGATTCTGACTTCAGCCTTGCTCACTTCCTCATCCAATACCTCGTTCTCTTGATCCCATCTTTTCACATGAATGGCCCCGTATTCCTCAGAAACGTGACTCTTTGATATAATCCAGAAGCCATTTCTTAGCGAGGTTTTGTTAGAGCCCCCCCAGAAGAAGTGGAGGCCATGTGGGATGGCTTTTACACCATCAAAATTCTCATTTTCCTTTATGCTGAATGCAACACTGTCATATCCAAACAGAGAACCCCCAGTAACGTCTCTGACGATGAACACATCTCCTGATTGCAGCAAAGGATTGGGCGGGTTTTTGTTGGATGCTGGGGCTGGTGATGGTGATGGCGATGGCGGAGGCGAGGATGAGGGAGAGTGGACGCGAAGGCACCCAAGCGGATAACTGCCAACAGCGTGAACGCTCTTTACAGATTTGGCGGATCTTTCTGAGCCATTTGATGGCGACTTTGACAGCAAGCTCTTTGGGTGTTGACTTGGAGTAGGGGTTTCAGATTTTCTCTCCCCTTCCCCTTCCGTTGCCTTGTTGATTTGGCCTTGGCTTCCTTTGCTTTTTAGCGACAGCTGTTTCGTCAGCTCAGAAACATGATCTTTCGCCGTTGATGCACTTCTCTGGATGGCGATCTGATCCTGCATAAACGTTGGGTCTGTGCATAAAGACGTTGCTCTAGATCGAACCAGAGGAGTGGCAGTGAAAGAAGCATCAGTCCCCATCTCAGCGAGCATATCTGAACTTTCCTTGTTTCTGTCCAGGTCCGCGCTTTGGTGTCCTTCTTGCTCCATCTTGAGGTATATCTAGCTGGAGTGGAGCGTTGAGGAGTATGTGGTGTTGTGTATTGCGCGTCAACTAAAGTTGTAGAAGCATGTTGATACCAAAAACACAGAAACTCATGAAGGTTTTCGCCTATTAGCGCAGATCAGAATTACGGAGCACTTTCCCCCAAGGCCCTCCTGCAATGGCAAAATTTCAAAATAGTGAATCTGATGAAAGAGATCAAAAGGTTCAACAAGCACATTCACTAGCGCTTAACCTGGCAGTATCTCGAACAGACTGAACTTTTTTGTGATTTATGCGTGTTGCTGAAGAACGCAGTCTATGAATACGACAAGTTTCGCGGACCAGGCTTTTGTAGTGGTTTGAAGAACCTTGATGCGCTTGAAATGTACTGATTTCTTATTTTTATAATGAGATTTGGGTGGCTGTTTTCTCCCCACCTTGTGGCTTGCAAAGTGCAGGGGAGTGCACCAGGATGGATGTACAACTTCTTTGGAGACGACAGCATCTCTTCTCTGTATCTCTAAGTAGTCTTGTGTAGGCCAGCAGAAAACCCAAAGAATTAAATCTTTCTTCTGCAATTACCTGATCCACTGCATTGTGATTTTTCCTTTTTTGTTTTTAGAGCTAGAGAGGGTCATTCAACAAGTGTGTTGTGGAGACGCAAGTCAGATGACTAATAACCTAAGAGTACTTGAGTAGATCAAAGTGCGGGCGGGACCTTTAAGCTTGTACCTAGCTAGCTCTACACCACCGTGTCTCCCTTCTACAACCACAGTTGGTACCTAGTGATGCGTTTTTTGGTCACTCATACGTAGCTGCAGATTCATTTTTCTGTTCAGTCCAGACACCTCCCATTTTTCTCTCAATCCATCCTTGAGGGACTCTTCTCAGGCCGCTCACAGATTGCCCTCATTTTAAGGCCCATGTGAACAAGCACAATGTCGCAATCAAATGGCCAGCAAAGGCCGGTACCTGGAAGTAATACTTCAACAAACAGCAATGGGCAGACTGGTCAACAAAGAGCTGGCCCAAATACATCTGGACAAGCTGGAGAAGTATGGGATGAAGAACGACTGGAACAAGGTTTGGAAAGGTTGAAAGAGTTGCATATTCAGGTCAGTGGTGCCTCTTTCCCAGTTGCACTCACAGGAACTTAAAAGGACTTTAGCTGCGCAGCCTACGAACCTGTATCCCTCGATTACTGGAGCCTCTTACCACGAAACAACCATCTCGTATGTATTGCCTCGGGAACCCTCCTAGATTCGCTCCAGCAGCTGATACTTCACTCTATAGCCGAATCATTATTTCGCGAATTTACTGAATCAACCCGCGTCGGAACCAAAGAGGTACAGGAATTCAAACATTTGATGGGAGACGAAGAGACGAATAAAATATTTGCCCAGGCTAGGAAAAGCCGTGCTGAGAATCCAGATAACATTAAGCCATGGAGAGCCATGGATCATCCGGATGCATTTACCAGACGTACCTGAAGCTGGCGCGATCGTGAAACGATTGGCGGGAGAATGTACCGAATTTGGGCCTTCGAGGGAATGTGCACGCCAATTATTGGGCGTGCAAAATCGAAGAATATAAAATGGGAGTTTGATTGGTCGACTTGGAGTTCTGGGTATACCACATTGCTGTTTGCTGGAAATGGAGTTTTCGATAGTCTGATCTAGAAATTGCCTGGGGGGATCGTTTCTTTGGGGTATTTGTGACAGGGCTTGAGACTCTGGATGTAATGGAATTGTAGATGGTAAACATTGCTGCATGTTCTTGTCAAGGACGGGAGTTCATCACGAGTAGGTAGGGCACCTGGTTTCTTTAATAACAATTTATTGAATCAAAACCAGAATGACTCCAAATACAAATCGACCCTCATACGATTCCACCAGACAGAACACACACCAACAAGCCCTTAACTATTGAGTAGAGGCACCGTTAGGGGCGCAAACAATTTGCCCTCCGTCTATCACTTTGCCTCCGGGTGCTGTACAAAACGGCGATGAGCTTTTGTTCCGCGAGAAAACGGTAGTATTGCGTTGAATAACGTATCCCGGAGCCTCAAACTCTCCTCGGCACTAGAGACCAGAATAAGCGTGTTTACAATGTGGGTAATTAATTATTGTTAGTACTCACGCAGAAGGTAGATAGACCATTTGCCTCGCAACCACCATTGCCTTCGGTTCCAGAATCGCACCACAACATCCCCGCGGGATTAAAGTTGTCTCTACGATCATGATCAATTGGAGTGGCGGCAACAATGCCCAACATGAAAATGACAAATTTCATGACGATTGGATGTTTTTGGATGGTTGGTTAAAGTAGAAGAAAGAGTAGTCGCTTTAAATTTGACAATCTGAGGGATCTGCTTCGAAGGAGGAGAAATGCTCATTGATATAGCTGCTAACTAATACTAAGTTTCTAGGCATGACAGGCTACTTTGTTTTATTGTGACAGCCCTGATATTCTTGAATTGCCTCAGGACTATTCGCAATACGTGGGTACCTACCTAGATAGGTAGGGTGTCCTGATTATGATACGAGTGGGAACTTTCCGAAACCTGAATAATTTTCGGATTTTCCCACCAAGGTATTGACCTCTAAATTTGGTCCATTACAGTAACAGAGAAGTTTTACCATCGAATTTTAGTGATAGTTACCGAGTTTCGTAGTTGGGTTCGTTCTGAGTAGTCAAATCCTAAGCAATATCTGTGCAAAAACTGTATCAATACAAGTGGAGAGACAGAGGGAGACCACCGACCGTTGTTAGTACTAACAAAAGTTAGGTAGTTGACCGATTATTCCACTTTTAGTCCTCAATTAAGCCTGGCAGAAGTAATTTATTGTAGAAACTCGTTACTAGAATACTCGATTTAAGGATATCCTTATTTATATTGCTAAGAAGAACTGCCCGTCGCATTGTATATATATGTTTATATTTACGAGTACAGCCATTCCTACCCTAATTCTCCTAGTTTCACTATAAAATACTTTATTTTAATATCCACGTTCGTCCTCGAAGGAGGGGGGGGATGTACCCCCCTTCTACGTTCAGGTGTTCCTTGCTCCCGAGGGAGAACTGCTCGGCTCACGACCGCTCGGCTCACGAGGGGAAAAGGGGGGTGGTACACATATATGGGAACAGCACACCTAGGGCTTAGAGCCTTAGGCTGCCAGTAGGAGCCTTGTGGAGCCGTAATGTGAGGAGGGGTGATTGCGGCTCTATAAGGCGAGTGCCGGGCCTATATATGTGGATTGTGGGTAAGGGGGTGTGTGTGTAAGGAGGGGTGGAAAGTCGGTCCACTGTAATATAGTAGAAAATCGGTCTATCGTAATATCCACCGCCTACCCTACAAGGCTACAAATATATCCACCTTTCTTACATTCGTGTTACAAGTGTGGGAAAACCTAGTAGGCCTAAACCACACCCAGAGAGCCCTCCTTGCCCGGCAAAGTCGAAGAGAGTTGTTATTATTCCGAGGCTTCCGGAGCCTCGGAATTCGTAGTTTGTAAGCGATTTACAAGCGATTTGCAAGCGATTTGCAAGCGATTTGCAAGCGATTTACAAGCCGCAAGCGAGCGAAGACTCGAGTGTACGAGGGATTGTCTGCTTGTCTGCCTACCCCCCCAGCCTAGCTATACCCCCTGTATCCAACAATTGTAGTAGAGTATAGCACTACCTAGAGGAGCCGTTCGTCGAGAGCTGTTCGTCGATCCGAAGTTATTATAAGGACACGTATCGCTCTATAAGCAACGTAGATAAGTAGAATCGACGCTATAAAGGACTAGAGCACTTAGCTAGTTTAATAAAGTACTAGTACTAATAAACTAAGAGGAAGAACAAGTAAGAAAAGAGAGCCCTAGCCCTAGCGTACGCTTCCTACTCTCAGGGGCAGGAACGATAAAGTTGTTAATTCCTGCCCCTCTTCTAGCTTGTAATATCCGTCGTCCTCACGTAATATTAAACACATCATTAATACTACGAGTGATCTGTTAGGTATTAGAATCGCACAAAAGTCCTTTAGAATAAGTTATAAATCTAGTTATATTCATGTGGACAAAGGGTAGGACTATTACCAAGAATTTATGGCAAAACCTCTCTGATAGATATCTGAGGTATCAGACATGTGGTGGTTGCTTTGCTTGCATTCACCTACCTACAGTGGGGCTCAGGCGATGGTCAGGCCAAAAAGGCGTGACTTTCTGACTCAACAAAGGACCTTGACGCACATGAAAATCGCATCGCATCACATAATACCATTCAATTAATTCGCAAAGATTTCCATCTCAATTTCCATCCCTCTGTGATAGTTGTTGGTTCGTTGCGCACTCCTAGTTTCACTCTGGGTTTCCCTCAGTACTTGTATTGGTACTCAAGTAATTAGGGTTCTTGGTCTCGCTTAGCCCCGCAGTCTTCAACTCGACAAAAGTGCGCGCTGGTGGGACAAATTTCACGAAATACCCCATCGCACCAACGACATCACCACGCGCGTGGCAACCACACCCACAAGACCACGAACCAGCGATCACATCAAGATGTCGAAATTTTTTAAAGGCGACAGCTCGAGCGACAGCAGCTCCTCTGATGAGGAAGAGCTCTACTCCGACTCCGAGGAAGAGGAGCAACAAGGCCAGGATTCCTCCGATGAGGGCGACGAGGACAAAGATGACGACGACAGCGGAAGTGGCAGCGATAGCGACGACTCAGATAAGGGAAAGGGTGCGAATAAGTTCTTGAAGGATGGCTCCGACTCGGACAGCGAGGACAGCAGCGAGGATGAGGGCATAAAAGTCGTGAAGAGTGCGAAGGACAAGCGGCTGGACGAGCTCTCTGTGTCTATCAAGGCCATCGAAAATGGACAAAAGATCAATGATTGGGGATCTATTTCCGCAGGTATGCGACGAGAGATGCTTCTCTGCGCACCGCAAACGCTGACCCATGCAATTAGAATTCGACAAGCTCAATCGGCAAGCCCTGAAGCTCATCCAGTCAGGCAATACCCCAAAGATCTATGTTAAGGCTATCGCAGAGTTGGAGGACTTCATGAACGAGACGATCGCCAAGCAGAAGGTCTCAACGAAGAAGATGAATGCGACCAATGCTCGTGGTTTGAACGCCGTGAAACAACGCATCAAGAAGAACAACAAGGATTTCCAGAAGGAGATCGACGCTTATAAGGCAGACAATGATGCTTTCATGGAGTCGTCAGACGAGGAGGAGGTCGTTGTCAAGCCCTCTCGAGTACCAAAACCGGCCTCTGGAGTAACCATCGACCTTGGTGATGATAATGAAGGTTGGGCTGCTGTTGGTAAGGGCGGACGGGTCCTCGAATTCACACCAGAGAGTATTCTTAAACACCTTAGAACCATCATGGAATCCCGAGGAAAGAAGAACACAGACAGAACAGAACAAATCACCATTATGGAGAAGTTGTACAAAGTTGCAGACACCCCATATCAGAAGGTCCGAGTTCTCCTGACACTGATTTCAACCCGCTTCGACCTTACCACTGGTGTTCAAACCTTCATGTCCCAAGACCACTGGAAGGCTGCAGAGAAGGAATTCGGAAAGCTTCTTGAAGTTCTCGAGGCAAACCGAGAACTTGTAGTTGTAGAGAATGCAGAGGAGTGGGAAGATGACGAGAAAGCCCCAACCATTACTGCAGGCGAAAAGCTCAAGATTCCAGGAAGCATCGTGTCATACGTTGAGAGATTAGATGATGAACTTACCCGATCACTTCAGCACATTGACCCCCACACTGCGGAATACATCGATCGCCTTTCCGACGAAGCTGCTTTGTACAACAACATTGTTCGCACACTTCTTTACACGGAATTCCTGCGTCAAGATGAGAGCCTCCAAGTCTCCCAAGACAGCGTCAACCGTATTGTGATGAGAAGACTGGAGCATGTTTACTTCAAAGTGAGTGTTATGAAGATCCCCGTTGTAAGTTTAGCTAACGACTGGAATAGCCTGCTGCCGTTGTCAAGATTTTGGAGGAGAATTGCTGGAAGGCAACACCAGAATCTCTCGATTCCGCCATCACTCCACGAACGAACGTCCCTGATGCCACTGCTCTAGTCAATACCTTGTGCAACTACCTTTTCATCAACAGTGAAGGCATTATTCGAGCCCGAGCCATGTTATGCCAAATCTACTTCCTCGCTCTCCACGACAACTACTACAAGGCCCGTGACATGATGCTTATGTCCCATTTGCAAGAGACGATCAGTGCCTTTGATGTGCACAGCCAAATCCTCTTCAACCGAACTCTCGTCCAAGTTGGATTGTGCGCTTTCCGTGCTGGTCTTGTGTACGAGGCCCAAACCACTCTTCAAGAGATCTGTGGAAGTGGCCGCCAAAAGGAACTTCTAGCCCAAGGTGTCATGATTCAACGCTACAACCAAGTGTCTCCCGAACAGGAACGTCTTGAACGCCAACGCCAACTTCCTTTCCACATGCACATCAATCTAGAACTTTTAGAGTGCGTGTACCTCACCTGCAGCATGCTTCTGGAGATTCCGTTATTGGCACAAACTGGCTCATCGCCGGATATCAAGAAGCGTGTCATCAGCAAGACCTACAGACGTATGTTAGAGTACCACGAGCGTCAGATCTTCACTGGCCCTCCAGAAAACACCAGAGACCACATCATGCAAGCTTCCAAGGCTCTGGCTGCTGGCGAATGGAAGAAATCAACCGAGTTCATCCACTCGATCAAGATTTGGGAGCTGATGGCAAAGCCAGAGGAAATTAAGGTCATGCTCTCGGAACAGATCCAAGAGGAAGGCCTCCGAACATACCTTTTCACATACGCCCCATTCTACGATACCCTTTCCGTTGCCACACTTTCTTCCATGTTCGAGCTTTCTGACCGAAAAGTCGCTGCTATCGTCAGTAAGATGATCAGCCACGAGGAACTTGCTGCTGCACTTGACCAAGTCAGCTCTTCTATTATCTTCCGAAAGGGTGTTGAGTTGAGCAGACTCCAGAGCTTAGCTTTGACACTCAGCGACAAAGCCAGCGGCCTTATCGAGAGTAACGAGCGAACACTTGAGACAAGAACACAAGGTATGGCCAACGCATTTGAGCGGCAGGGTGGAAGAGGCGGAAGAGGGGGTAGGGGAGGAAACCGAGGTGGCAGAGGAGGCGGGGCAGGTCGTGGTGGCGCACCAAGACAACCTGGCGGAACTCAATTTACTGGTGGTGCTTTGGGTGCTGCTGTCCGAGCTTAGAGTGGTCATGTATTTGCATTTGGGCTGGTTGTTACCAGGGTTGCGTCTGCTATTAACAGGCGTTCAGTAGAGCTTACAAAAAAGCCTTTTCTGTGGTTTACACAAGAATGAGTTGATGATAATTAAGTCAAAAAATATCCAAAATTCCCTTGGCTTGTAATGCCCTTGAACTGTTTCTTTTTCTCTTTTCTTTCTCTCAAAAACCCCGTTAGGGAACCACTGCCTATCCCAAGTAAATGTGCCCCTGCGTCCTTTCAGTTCCTCTGTCTCTTTTCTGTCTCATACTGCTGTTCTAGTAGCAAGCGTGCAGTTAGATGATTTAAAACTATAAAGCAAGGCTAATGATACCCCGGGAGCTAGTCTTGCCCTTTTTCAACGCCCGATGAGATTTCTCTCGCTTTAGCCTTACGATTTTGCAGGACTTAGCAGTACATAGCAAACACTTTGTGTGGGAACGTTCGCATTAGTGCAATTCATTTGAAGTATCGACACTAGTAGTGGCTAGACAGAAGCGGTGCCTGGATGTAGCTGCAAAAGTAAGTGAAAAGTAGCCTAGAAGGTATCATGATTCTAGCTAAAGGAATGGAAGCGTGTGAGTACAGAGTACTTAAGGTCAGCGCTCGGCAACTGGAATTCCATTCTATTCTATACCCCCTATTCCACTAGAATTCTATAGAACCGAATTATATGACTTGAATAAAAGTCCTTCCGCTCTATCAACTAATAGGAAGCCTAGATTTTACCCGTATATATAAGGGCGGTCTAAACGGCTTACGTTATACGACTTATTATAGGCAGTGTATAACTCTATAATATAACTCGCTAAGCTAATTAGTTTCTAATTCAGGTGGAGTAGAGGTATATCAGAAAGTGACAAGGGGCAGGGGGGGCTCTAGACCCTTTACTTAGACTAATTATAAAGTTCTAACAAAGTAAACAAGGCCTTAATAGTATTCACTCCTCTCAAATACTACTTCCTGATTAGTTGGAATAATAACCTCTAGAATTCTATTTCCTATAGAATTCCAGAGCCTTTACAATAGAATATTGCATTCCATTCCACCTAGAGTTCCCTAGAATAGTTTCCATTTGCCGAGCGCTGCTAAAGGTATAATCTTACTCATACGAGGTGGATCTACGCTAAAACGTGATTAAGAGAATGGAATACATCCCAACAGAATTTGATCAAGAACGAGGCTGGAGCACTTTAAATACCTTCGGAAACAAGACTTCTCCTGGGAAGGTGCGAAGTAACGGTTGGGCGACTTAAGTACTAACAGCCAGATGGCCGCTCCACAAAATGGCCATTTGGATGTTCCTGGATGTGCAGAATTAAAAATAGCCCACAAGTTTAAAGCTCACATACAGGGCATAATGGTAACTAACACACATGGATGGCTTCAATGAAGATAGTAAAGTTTTTTCAAATCTTGAGCAAGGAATCGTTGTACGAAGTATTATGAAGCGGAACTAATTTCTGATTGAGGACGCATCAATGGATGGGAAGGTTGTTATCTGGCGAGGGAGTCTAGAGTCCATCGACAACTTCAGATACAACGTACATCACAGATTCTTCACCTTTTCGCCTCCAAATAGATGAACCACGCTTCAGAAGCTCAACTGTGAATTATGGCTTACATAGTGGCTGGTGGTTAAACCCTCTCGGTTTCACATGGGAATTTGAGAAGGCTAGTAGTGGCAATAAAACAATACGAAGAGCTTGCTTTCACGTGTCGTCCTAGTTTCTTTTCTCTCAGTGAGTCAGTGGTTGGATGGGTCTTTTAACTTTTCACGAATCTGCTTGTCAGTTTGAATTTGAATGACGAAATCCCAATTGTTGGGAACGAAGAAAAAATGGTGCCTTTTTTCAATTTGTCTACGATTCTTACGAAGCTGCTGAAACACCCATGTCATAAACGTGATCGAACTTGAAGCATGAATGAAAGATAAATGTGCGGCGAGGTGTAGGTTAGGGCTGTCCAAACTACTGTAAGCGCCTGAATGCTATTCCCCGTCACAAAACTGGTAGCGACGCTTACAGTATATGCACTTTCATACCAAGATACGTCAAAAGGGACAAGCATACGTCAACTGATCCTCTGAACAATAAACTCGTGATCCGAGTCTTGCTGGTTAGAGCACCAGTTCGTTCTGCGTTGCACTTGGCAATAAGTGACGCATCCACAAGAGTTGACATCTGTGTGCTGCCAACTTTTCCATTCAAGCGAATGAACGTAACAACCAAGAATGTCGAGTCACGTAATCCAAAATTTACGGATTCTCTGTCTTCATGTTTCTCACTTATACTGGGTGAAAATCTTCGTGTTAGGGTTAGGGCAATTCCCACCACTGTACTTGCAGTTTGAGTACACACATTGTCAATTGTGGTATTCAGATGTTCTAGAAGCCGCATGCCATACTTCATTGATACAGCAATGGCAAAACTTGCGCAAATGGATTTTGAGAGACAAAGATAGAACTGATCTGTAAATAAAAATATATTCTGATATATCAAATCTCCAGGCTTCTCTTCGCCGGCTCTTTCCCAATAAAATAAAAGATATAAGCCCTGTTCTAAATCCCCTGACTGAGTCTTCTGTAGACTGTCCATTATCCTTTTTTGCGCCATTCCCTGAAATTTGCAAAACCCAAAACCTGCATCGTTACGCCAAATTTCGTAAATTGTATCCAATCTGATGTCTTCATATCCTCCGCCTAGTGCGCATGTCCTCCCCAGAAGTCCTGCTTCGCAAGGGTCTAAATCCCTCGCACCCAAATCCGTGAACCAGATGAAGGTTCCATAACCCACTACGCTGAAAAGTGATGGCTCTATGAAGAATCGCTTCACTTTTGGACTGAACGGTGTGTTGAGCCGGCCTCGAGGTTGTATTCGTCCTTGATTTGCTCGCCTTTGCCATTTCCTGGCATGACACCGTTTCGCTTGAAGTATTGCCAGTGTCTCCATGTAATCCAGCAGACGGGGATAGCAAGTTGACTGTTTACATCCTCATTAGTATTCTATTCATGTAATATTTGGATGAGTTTCTCGGGAGCTTACCAGTTGACAGCTGCAAGACCGATCATGATGTATACCAAATAACAACCCAAGCCAGGAATACATTTTGAGACATTCATGAAGGGTAGGATCGCTCCGGCTGCCCAGAAGACAACTTCTGTGCAGGAGAGGATGAAATTCGCTTTGATGGAGGACCATTTTTTGAGATTTTGGCATTTTTCAGTGTAGATCATGTATGCCATGATTATGAGACCTTTCGCTGCCTGTTTGATATTGTATTAGTGGCTGGAGAGTGGACCAAAGGTAAGGACATAAACTTACGATACCCATAACCATGGTGTCATTTCGGCTGGTGACGAGTCCTGGATTCATCATTCTGTATGCAGAGATCCCCAGAACTGCAGCGATAACGCAGAATTGGAGGGCATGACAAATTTTAAGAATAGTGTGTTCTTTTGCGGGAGTCAACGCCATCTTATCGGTTTGGAAGGGTGATTGGTGAAGATCTTAAGGAGTTCGATCGAGTCTTGGAAGATTTGTCTCGCTGGTCACTACTGCTGGTTGTTGTATTGGCAAGAGAATGATTGTGCTGGATGGTTGGAGCGACTATTTAGATTGCAGATGTAGATGAAGAACTGTTGATTCTGGTATATAGAGAAATCTAGGGTCTCGATCCAACCTTGTATAAAGCAGATATCAAAACAACTTCCAAGAACAGCCCCCTAGTCTACTCCACCGTTCGCAACTTCTCAAACCTCACTTGGCAGCCCACGTAATGTAGCTTAACTCTCGCACACGATCCCGCATCACCACATAGCGATAGCGACGGAAAACTCTAAAAATCCCATACGCACCCCTACTCCTAGACCGTTGTGATAACGAGTGCCCAGCCCTATCCGATTAGTACGGTTCCCAAACAGGGCTGGCAGGATTTTGGCAAGGGGATCTGCGGATGTTTTCATGGGGTTGCTTGACTCCGCTTACCCTTTTTTGGCTGCTTTGGGCATTGTTCGTACTTGACCTCGGACCGTGATCGATTGCGTCGTATGAGTCTCGGGTTTGACAAGGGTTTCCCTTGGGCCACGCGAAAGAGGCTGATGGCATGCCATTGGATGGCTTCCGAATGGCAGGGTTGTATCTTAGAATAGATTTGTTTTTTTATAGAAAAATAGTAGAGAGGCCGATTTTGAGTTTGATGATTGGCTATCGGACGGATAATTGAGAACTCGCTTACGGTGATTTACTTTTACTGCTCATTCAAGAATCTAGACCAATTGCATCGCTTCGAAGGAGTACCTCCGTATAAGAGAAATGTAGCTCTCCTACTGAATTCTAAAGTAATGATGGGGCTGTCTAGAAGGAAAATTCATTCGGGTCTCGTATAAAGTATGAAAACCATTCGCGCGTTACGAGTTATCTCGGGTTACTACAATAACTTCAGAATTCACGTGGTGGCTGAGTGCTGAGTAGGCACAAATAGTACCGGTAGCTCTCAATTTAAAATTTCTATGAGAGATGCTAGATACGAATTTGCTTGTTCTAGAGATTGCTACTTCGGTTTCTGTCACCTTCTCAAACTGGACTGAGTGCGAAGATATCAGATCACGATTCACGAACATTCACATGTTGACTGGTCGCAGACGTCGCACTATCGGATATTTGCGAGATATGCATAGGATTGAGCAGAAAGAGTCTCTGTGTGGACTGAAAGAGTCGGATAGGAAAACCACTGTTGAAGTGGGTTACAGTAGCATGGTTGGTGCAGGAGTAATGTTGTACTTTATAGCCCCATTTGGTGAAAAGGGACCACAAATAAGCTTTCGTAAAGGCACCATCAACCCGGAATTGTGGACGAGGCCAATCCTCTATTGGATATTTCTGATCAAGCTTTTCCCAGCGTCTGTATTTTACTCAAAACCGCGCGGCTCCCAAAATTTTTAATGTGTGAAAATGGTCCTGTAAGCTACGGCTTCGTTACTCCAGCCACGCGTGCATCTTCGCGGTATCCGACACGAAAAGGTAGATTCGTCATCCAAAGAGTCATCGCAACAAATGTTTGGGATCAAACGCATGCTGTGAACAGTGAATGATATTATGATGGACTTGAATCAGTTTGTGTGCGCGACTGCTTGTTTGAGCCAAAGCTTTGTGGGAGAAACCCGAGGTTATGAACGGCCGAAGTCCCGAGTGTTTGGTGTTGGGTAGTATGCTATTGCCCATCGTATCATTCTACTCTACCGTACTGTAAAATTATTCCGCAGCCTTAATTACATATCCTGGCAATCTGGTCAAAAACAGGGCTCGGCAATTCGAACCGTTAATGAGTAAAATCCGATTGCTCGTAGACTCAGGAAATCTGCTTCTTGGACAACAAGACGCTGAGATGACAGATTCAAAATCATTGGTGTGCTGTCCTTGCCTTACTGCTAGGGGCCCACCTTGAAAAAAAAGGATATGTTATCAATCGTAAAACCGCAGGTGACAAGAGATTATCTGGAGTTCACCGAATGAAGGGGAATAGTCTATATTTTCTCTATGAAAAGCCACCCTCTCCCATAACTCTGATTTTGTTATTGTATTTGTTCCACGCTCATATTTAATGGCAAATGCGCCTCCAAATGCTCATCTTTATAACAACATGCAACCCGAAGGGGAAGGGACCGAAGGGACCGATCGTCTTGCTGTCCGTACTCCATACCCGCTTTAATCTTCCCCTTCCAAAATGTGAGGATCTACGGAGCGCAGGGATCTAATGCATGGGGTTGTGATACTCCGGAGAAAGAAAGCACAAAGTAGATGGATGGGATGGGTCGCAGGAGAATTATGCATGCAATTGAAAGTCATGGATTGCGCAACAACTGCCAGCATTGCACAATGACAAGCATGATTTGGGAGATTTGGTTCGCTCAAACCCATGCTAATACCATCTCCGGCACTTGTAGAAGGTTTTTGCAAAATACCAGACATATGAGGGATAGAAAATGGCGATCGAGATGCTGAGTATCGAAATCTCAGCATTCTAGTCAATGAGTACACCAACTTAAAAGGCTAGTGAAATCAGCAAAACTGTTATAGGGAAGGCTCCAAGTGCTTCTAATAAGATATATGCATATACAAAACCCATGGTGTACGATATGGTTAAGTTTGCCCAATTAGGCTACGGAACGTTTCCCATTCTTGACTGGGGTGGGTTGGATTGTGCAAACAACCTGGAACTTACTTCGAAGTGTCATTGAGGTTTAGACCCAAGAGAAAAGATGAGTTCCACGCTAGATTGTTGGTCGGTGTTACAAGTTCATACTTCTCTCTACACAGATGCGCATGCTGATACTGTGATGATATGCCGCCGCGAGCCTCATATCCGCCGAGAAACGCTTTTGATCCCAAGACCAAACCACCAAGGAGCGAATCCCAAGAAGCTTGTGGATTTATGTGCGTCATTCTCTAACAAAAGGCATGCTCGGCATGTTGTGGCCGTGCAATAATCCCCATGGTGCAAGTACGGATAATATCCACTTGAACCAAGTTTCCCTATTTCTCTATTTGCCAATGCCGTGTACATAGCCACAGCGTTACTGAGATCGTTATTTCAGATCTTTCGAAACCTTGTATGAAAGTGTTCGCCAGTTGTATTCAAACGGTGATATAGACCCACAGCTTGTATGAAACACAAGCCGCCTTCTGGGGACATTTGCCATGTGCTGCTTGAGTGATGGATGAAGGAATTAACGAAAACATGCGGGCGCTGACTTCAGGTGACTGGAAATCATTTTCTGAATGTATTGGAGAGCTAGCTGGGCGGCAATAAGACGTTTTGGCGTTGATACTTGGCTCGCTTAGCTATTTCACCAGCTTGACGTGCCCTTTTCTGCAATTTTATTGTGGCGCCACATTTCCCACACACAATGGATCCCTTTTGAGGCTTAGAAAAAGTTGAATTGATATGGAGAAACATGAATATGAAGTGTTTACCGCTTGGTCTGCTTTTGAATGTGCGGTGAAAGGTCTGAGGGAGATGAGAAGGGTTGTGTGATATGCAACAAACCCCTTGCTTGACGCTATACTCGCGCTCAGAAGCTATTCCAACTTGTATAAAAGTTGCTCAGCGAGAGACCACAGTGATACTGGGCAGTAGGAAGAAAGTAAAGGAAAGACGCAGAATGGGTGGAAAGGGGAGTTTACTTTGAGACTGACAAAAGAGGAAAATACAAAAACATCATGTTACAACATCCGCTACAGCTGCCCAGAACAAATTGATCTTGAGGTCTTGCTATCAAGCACTCTGATGAACAAATTACGAAGGAGAAGTGCCATGATGGTCTGCTCTAGGACGATTGTCATTCCTCGTAGAGCTTTGTTTGGTAGAATAAACAGAAAAGTTTATGACATAGTATCCTCTCTTTCTCACGTGATACTACAGATTAAAAGAGGAAATACGGAAGTCTGTTATTGGGAAATTGATTTGCCCAGGCCAAGCAGCAGCTCAGACTGCTCAGTGCCTTTTGCACCAGCTTGGTGTCAGACCAAAACATGATCACCATGGTCAACAACGCGAATTTTTGCCAGGTTTTAGCCAATGTATGTAACTTGGCGTATTCGAGCAAATTGACGAAGACTGATAAATGATTTATATGAGTCTTCTTCAGTTTCTTTCTGAGGTCATTTGGAAAAAAATTGTTGCATGTGAATCATGAGCTTTGAAGAGGGACGGGAGCACCATAGTAGAGCCGAGTCTGACTGCTAGCGATCCCCCGCCTTGGCATTGCACCAGGGCAAATGCCGATCTGGATCTGTTCCCCGACGGGCATCAATATCCTCCTTTTTCTTCCTCCTCTCAACACTCACCCCCTACGCCTATGAGTACAGCACCTACTTGCAATACTGGTTACGAACCAGAACTCTACTTTGACTGATGGTCATCAAAGCCCATATTACTACCACGTTACTATGGCTGAATTGGGAATTTCTAGATCTGGCCTGAGGAGAAACATATTGAGGGGAAGCTCACTTTGGTGACGTGCATGTTGCTCCGTTCCAGGATCAGAGGGTTGGAGAGGAGAATCTCCAGCTACTGCAGCTGCATTATATCGAACAGCTGGCTGGTGGTGGTGACAGAAACGCCCCAAAGAACCTGATGGACACCTTCGCCGATCAGGCCGATCCATTCATTCCGGGGATGCAGTGATTGTTGGGTGGTGGATGAGTTATCATTATTTAACCTCCTCACCAGACCTTTCCTGCCTCACCACGACTGAGTACCTTCGTTGTTTCCTTTCTATATTTCCATCTCCTTTCAAGTCTTTTCATTGCACTGTTCCAATCCACAAGCATAACTGCAGTAAAGCAAGCGTACGCAATTGCATTCACATTGAATTGTAGGAGGATCTCCATCTCTTTAAAATCAACATTTCTGACTTGTATCAGAGTCTACGGTACAGATAGATCTACACCTTATCTACCTTTTTAATAAGGTTAACCCCGCACGCCGCACGGCAAACCCCCCTACTACAGATCCTACTGTACGATGACAGCCCTTTCCTCCTACGAGTTTGCATCCAACGACCTGGGCAATACAGCATCAGAGACGGCACTCCTTCCACACAATATCCCAATCATCACGAAAGGAGGCATTGGAGGGCGAGGAAACTATCGTAAAACCAGCAATGCGAGTGTTGCGTTGCCATTTACGCTACAGACTGCAAGCGGAAGGTCGGAACCATACTATCAACCACCCATCGTAGGGTCTCGAACAGCACTTCCAAGTGGCGCGGACAAGATGAAGGAGAGGCTTGTTGGACTGTTTAGAGGTGGAAAGTAGGAATTGAGAGCAAGGAATAAGTGATCAATCGTTCCAAGGGCTATACAGGAACGAGACATTGCCAACTTTTGGGACTAAGCAAGGAAAGACGAGGGTTCTTGCATCATGGATATTTTCTTATGCATAGGGACAAGGAAATATCTCTGTCACTTATAATACGCGTTCCTTGGTTTTTGTAATCGGGCAGTGTTTGCACTGAGGAATTTCCTTCTTTGTACTAAGGATTTGTTTCAATATTCAGCCTCGGGAGGGTTGTTTATCATTTGATCTTATTTACTACCTATTGCAGATTATGCAGCTTTCCACAGGGAATTGCTCAAATCAATAAGGTCTACATGCATTTTCGATACCAGTTTGTGGTTAAGATTAAAGCCAATTCCCTTTTTGGACGCTCTAAGCAGCGAATAAACAATAGTTTTCTTATACGTTTACATGCCCCTCATTGATGCTTCACCATCCATCAATTACGTTCCCAGTTTGCCACTGGCAAGCAACCTCATCGCCACGTCCGTGGATGAATACAGAATGTAGCGACTAAAGTTTCAACTGTAGTCGATCTGGAGGCGAAGCGTCGCCTCCCTTCGTAGATATCCAGGTCCGGCAGGTTAGCTCGCAGTGGATAAAAAATCACCTTCTCCTTGCAACTCATTAACTTCAAACATGTTAAACGATACATTTTCTTTACTTTTCCTAACCTTATCAATTATTATTCCGGCTTGGTAATATAATTAGAATTAATGAAATTCTTCTTCTTTGACTTTATTTTCAATAGAAATAAGGAGGCTAATAGTCCTCCACGCTGTTACATAGTACTACTTGTTGGGAGGGAAGTTTGGAGTGGGTATTAGGTACCCCTGTGTGCCCTGTATACGCCGCGGCAAAATCCCGGTAAGGGTCCGTCGCTTCCCCGCCACTGACAGCACACTAATATAAGCACAATTAGAAACAGCTTTCTCCAGACAAGTCAAATGTAACACGGTCGATTAGTGTAGTCGGTTAGCACATGGGTTTTTGATCGCATCAAAAATACCTGGGACCTGGGTTCGAATCCCAGATTGACCTATTGGACATGTCTATTTTTTGCTATTTTTTTTTGGAGATCTCTTGGGATAGGCGAAGTGCAGAACTGTACGAGAAGTTTTTGATTCAATTTTTGGGGAAATGTGGTGGTATGTGCGGTACTGTAAGCGAGGATAGAAGGGTTGCGAGTCAGTTAGCTATTCTCTTTTGTTGGAAACGTAAGGAAATCGTTAAGTGATGTTTCATAGCTTAGATTTATAGAGTCTTATTACTACCAAGTAAAAGCTTTTGGGTGTTACTCGAGTAGACTATATCGTTCTCATAGTACATCAACTAGACTAGGTAGGTATACGGCAAACCGCCACCGAATACCTACCACATTTCTCTTACGGTTTCAACCGCCACTGTTCATGTACAAGTTAGTTTCGAAACAAATGCTATCTATCCAGCGATGAACTCCGGCTCAGACAGGGTAGACCTTCATTCGCGGAGGACCCCGTTGTTTTTTCTTCTCTTCGTCAAAAGCGGTGAAGAGGGGAAGGGAAGACGAGTCAGTTTGCGTACGCGTATACACTCCGTCAAGTCCCATTACTTTTACTATGCATATAAAACCTTGACAACAGCTAGGGATAGAAAATTTTCTACCCATGGCCATCTGATATGCGCGTTCAGTGTACTTCATGAGTCACATAGCTGTTTTCCGGGTAGCGGTAAGCCAACCTTTTTGGGGTGTCTTTGAAAGTAAGGCTGCACCTCTCTTATTTGGTTAGCAAATGGTTTTCTCTACTCCATACCCGGGCGTCGCCTTTTTCTCAGAGATTTCTCGTCTCCGCTTTACACGTGTCTTATCCCCTTAAGACTTGATACGTACATCTGGACTTTTAGGTTTGCGATACCCACTTTTAGACTTGGCTCTTATGGTTGTTTCAACGTCTATATGAAGACTTGTATAATCGTAGAAGTACAGCATAGCTTTAACTATTGGATATATGCTCGAATCAAGGTTGAAAATAACTATTGGATCCGACAGCTCAATGGTATTAAATATATTCCATTTCCAAGTCCTAATGTACTTTATACTAGAGCTGTTGCCAGTATAAGCAAACTTGCAACTGCCATTTATAATAACCTCAGATATAGGATCCAAGGATTAAAGTACTCTCCGAATTCCAGCCATAAATGCACATGTATTCCTAAAATTTCTTCTTGGCGAGAATAACTGAACCACGTCCCTTGTCTTCATCTAATAGCAATTTTGTCGTTATAAATATCTACACTCATATTACCTGGCTTACCATTTCTGGATATGTAAATAATCTACCTTGAGGTATAGAGTTACCAGGATACTACTGACCTTAACTCCCTTGGAATAAGACCCGGTATTTGTTTCTCCACTAAAAGATTAACAACTTTGGCCAGATTTCGTGACTTCTTTCTTGTTGACGTCGTCTTCCCGCCTGGAAGTTGGACTTGACTCCTGTGCAGGACATGAGACTTAGGTCTGAGACCAGCCTATTTCTACTACTTTCAAATTATGGAATATCCGGAAAGGTGTAGAAATGTTTCGTGTCATGTTGTGTCACCTCGTTTTCTTTTCTTCGTTTTGAGACAAATGGAATAGGCAGCCCCGTTTTGTTTCTCGACGCGCACTCCTGCATCTAATGTCTTGGTCGCCTGCTGAAAAGAAATTTAGTCTGGGGGTCTATGGTCGTGGCTTGAAATGCGCGTTAAATGCGCGTTAAATGCGCGTTGAATGTAAAGTGACGCCGTGTTCGCAGTTTGTTATATTTCTCCTAAATTTTATCAAGACCGATCTTTATACTAAACCAATTCGTCGTCAATGCTCTTAGTCTTGAGTGCAAGTATGTTTCTGCAGTTGCTCTCGTCCAGAACTGTGAAATCTAGTTTCGTATTGTCGTCGAGTGGATTTCTAACTCTTGTATCGTGATGATATAAAAACCGTGCCTATTGAGCTAATAGAGAAAGGAACTCCCGCATTATTCATAGTCGATTAGGATCACATGCCGAAGGCCCGTATGAACAAAGCTTGCGACCTCGATCGCGAGGGAACAGAGGTATTTGATAAGGAAATAATGATCACAAAGCATTCTATCCAGGAAATGGATGGTTGAGATCTAAGAAGGTTGAGAGAAGAAGAGGGGTCGTTTATAGAAGCTGATAGAAGGTTTCATGCATAAGAAGGGCCGATTGATTTGTTTTTAAATGAGACCATCTCAAACTGAACTAGTTCCAACCGCCACTCAGCTACGTGTTCGTTTGCAATTGGTTGAAACCATGTCGCGTAAACAAACCCTGCAAGTTAAATGCTGATCTCCTTGCATTGAGGTCTCCCGGATCTCCTTCTGAGGAACTTGATAGGCTCGTCCATATTCAAGAAGTTTGGATTGACTCGGATTAACTCACATTAAATTAAAATTCGATTTGGTGTTGGAATATTAATTTAAAAGTTACCGAATGTGGGGGATTTGTTGGAAGTCACGTACTGGCCCGTTCAATATCTGCAAGTACGCGAGAATATCAGAGTAAAAGCGCGTTCATTGGCTGTTGCCCTTTGCGGAGTGAGTAACTTGGAGTGGGTCGTTGAGTCTGAACCCCTGCGCTTGGACTTGACTACATGTCTCAATATCACATATATATAGTGAGGGATTCCGTCCGTTTCTCTTTTCGGTTGAGTTTTATAAATTTTATTAGATTCTGTACGTGCTACTCCAGCAGATGCAAAAGGACATCAAATAAAAGATACACAGACTCAGTCGAATGTTATACAGTAGTTGGTACTTTTAACTTAATCCCGCCTTCCTTCCTTCCTTGGCAATCAGCTACATGTCTGAGAAGTACAAGTACTCGTACCTGCAACTACTCGAGTACAACTACATCGGTACACCGTACCAGCTAGATCCACGGATTATTAGTTGCAATTGATTTGAGGGAAGGAGCGTTCGCGATACTGAGTAGACAGTTTTCTACAGTTGTGCCTGCTACAAGTACGGTCTTCCAGTGCCGGCTTGGTAGCGGGGTATGGTTCCCCTGCCCACTTTAAGGCGTTCCGACATTCTCCCGCCAGCTCAAGCCTTAGAGGACCCTGACCCGTGGACCTGCTCGACCCTGCCCTGCTCTCTCTTCTCCTACCACACAACCACCCCCTCACACAACCGAGTTGGATTGCGTCTCCAACTCAACGGCCGCATCTTCAGACGTGCCAGGCGCGCGGCAGGCTGAGAAGCTCAAGAACTTCAGGTAAGGCTCGCAAGACCTTGCTGAGATGCAAAGCACACTTTATCTTTTGAGTTCAACTGACCAAATTAACTTCTTTTCACCTTCAGATCTCGCGATTGCGCAATCCAAACTTGGCGCGCTTTCGTCATTAAACCTTCTAGCTTGCGACACTTCACATTATACGAGTCATCGAAGCCCCGATAGTAAGGAAAGAACGCTTTCCACATTAGGAAAGGTACATACCCTCATCTTCACCTTCGGTCTTCCAAGCTTGTGTCGCACGTCGTAAGTGCGACTGTAGGTTTTGCATTCCCTGTGGTTGTTTACCTTAGCCGAAGGAGGAAGGGGCTTAACCGAAGAAGCTGACTTATCGTCTGACATCTTTGGTCACAACCCCTAAATTCAGTGAAACTATCCTCACTTTTTCTTTGATGAATTCTCATCTTGATGAGAATAGATCAATACAACGAGTTTATTCTTAGATAAAGTTAACATGCACTAACAACTTTACTATTTTCAGACAAAGGCAAACACACTTACACTTTCTCCACAATACCCCTCAATTATTTCCATCCTAAAGCATTACTTTCGTGCGCCATAAAAGCTGCCTATTGTAGTATGTATTCAACCTTGATGTACAACTGTATATATGCTGACGACTGAATAGATCATGGAGGACGATGAGTCGCCATCTGTTGGTTACAAGAAGCGTGGTCAGATGTGTGACTCCCAGCGCAAAGCAAGAAATTCGAGTATCGAAGCTATCAAGAAGGAGTGGAATGTAGAAAGCGTCGTCGAGATATTTCCCCAAGCCATCCGACCTGCTAACGACGATGCTCTTGGAAACAACGCAATTAGTAACATTCGATCAATATCTATGAGAGTCTCAAAATCCGCCGCTAGAGCTCTTTTTATAGCTGAGTGTGGAGATAGGCCTGTTGGCTTCAGCCACACTTCCAGAATTTTGAAGGCACTTGTTAATGACGAATCACCAGCGTCTTCTACTAAGTCGTTCAAAAACCCAACAGGAAAGGGATCTGATTTAAAGAAGCGTACCGACCTGAAAGCGAGTTTAATTTCTGTTCTGGCACTCTCCATATTTCTTTACTAGATGCCCCGAGAATATCTGAATATCTTGACGGCATATCTAAGAAGATTGGGAAAGGTTGCATTTCTAAGTTCCCGATCAACTTTTGGACCTGCTTCCCTATAGAATATTGCTTATTCCACATTTAAGCAGATCCTTACGGAAGTCTGTCTTCTCTTTGCTATACTAACATGCTTATTAGGATCATGAAGTTTCTCCACTACCTCCGAAAAAAGCTCCAGTTGAAAAATATCCCGTGCCTCGCATCCCAAAGAGAACCGTCACACACAACGGCGCTACTGTAAATTTATTGCTTTCCTCCTCGACATATATGTTGCTGAAACTTGAATAGCCTATTGATAATCCATCCAATTCCGGTCCAAAAAAGATCGCATCTGAAGTTATAAACCTTACTGTGAGTTAATCCGTCATTTCAAGCCGGACTGCCTTGCTGACTTATTTATAGGATGACGATTTGCAACTTCCTACCTCAAAGAGTACTACTACTCAAGATCACGACCTCGACGTAAGATTGATTTAATCTTCAAATTTTATACGTTACTAACTTGTTGTCAGCAACAACCCAATCCCATACCAACTCAGCAACCCAATCTCTTACCGAGTCCCGGAATCTTACCTAATCCATACAGAGCCCCCACCCCTCCTCGAAACGAGACCATTGGCACAAACGAGACCATTGGCACAAACCAGTCAACGACTGGCATTGATAAGGCCATGGAATTGAAACACAGCAATGGCACTCCTTTCAGAGGCGTCGCACCCATAAATAACCAGGCTCAGCATATGCCGGTTAAGGAACAGCCAAAGGCCGGCGGATCCTCCCAACACAACGGCCAGTTTTCTGCCAAAGGTCAGACCTCCATGTTGATTTGCAAAGAGGTTTCGGGCAATAAAAGCTTGGTCAACAAGCCTCTTGAACCGAAGGGAAAGGCACTAGACGGTCGTATAATGACTCAAGACGAAAAGCTCGCGCACAACCAAAGAATGATAGAAGAGCTAAGAGAAAAGAGAAGGATTAGAGATCAGAAGTTCCAAGCTTTGGTAGAAACCTCCCCTACTTCCGAGGAATCGTCTGTTTCAACCCCAACCTCCTGCCCTAATGAGTCAACCATGGACACCGATGTGGACACCGATGCCGGACGAGCAGTTAAAGCCCAATCCGAGGGGTTGGTATCCACAAAACGCCCGTACGAGGAGATTGCAGACACTATTATCGTTGATACAAGAAAGCGTATAAAGGCCTCTTCAGTTCCATTAAAGCTCAATATTAACACCCCTTCTTCACCATCCGCGGCTCCAATCGCACCTATGATTGGCCCGGTAAAAAATTCTATCTCCAAACCCAAGCCTGTTAATACAGCAGTACTTGAAAAAAAGAAACCTCTATCCTCGGGCACTCAGGCTCCTGTCGCATCAATGCATACCGCACTCAAGCCAATCCCAGCTCCGGCTCAAGCTCTAGCTCCAGCTCCAGCTCCATCGTACCCAATCCAAAGCTTAGTCACAAAAAAGAGGGCGTTCGGAGAAGTCCAACTTGCGACCACTTTGGAAAAATCTACTAGTAAGGCTGCTAAACAAGCCAATGCCGGAATCCGTGCCATTGGCAGGGGTATAACCACTGCCAAAAAGGTCGGGGACGACAAAGGGGAGGCTGTTATACAGGAGCTTGCGGATTTGATCCACCGCAATGCGGCACAACTCAACGCGGATGTCCAGGCTTTCTATGAGAAGCATGGTCTTTCTATTGAATCTGGATTTTAAACTGGCTTTAGGCTTTTGTCGGAGAAGCGGAGTTTTTAACTTCTGAGTACCCTTTTACATATGCAGTAACGACTTGGTTGTTGAAGCATTTTCGACTTTTCTTTAGTTTCCCTTTGGTCTGCCAAACTGGTTGTTTCTGCCATTGCACGAATTTCCTTTTCCGGCGGGGTACACAGAACGTACAAGCATTACATTCGGCTGGTTATCATCCTCGGCGTCTCGATTTCGAATTCCGTAACTTGAGAGGCTGTATCACAGGATTTCGGGCTTCATACTCGTACCTCACCAAAAAGTTGTTTTCCTTTCTCTGTTGTTTGCTTGATGGGATGGATGGATGATTCCATTGCTTTGCTCACTTTACGACTCTGATGATTCATGATACCCCTGGGTGGAGTTCTTTTTTTCTTAAGCCTGTACTCGGTGTGCTCGTGCGTTCTGGGGGGGTTTTTTGCTTGCTTGCTCGCTCTTTGCTTCTAGCGGGGGCTTAATGTGTGGGTGGGTGAATGGCGTGTAATTCATGGAATGAAAGGGAAGGGAGTGGATAGGTAACATACATGGGAAAATGATGTTTTACCTACCTTACCTAGGTAGAAAATGGTGCGTACATACAGTACTTTTACGTATGGTAGATAGTGGGAATGAAAATTGTGCGCGAATTATGGTTTTCCTTTTGTAGAGTTGTGAGGTTTTAGTGTACTTTTTAGGTAGAGTAAGGATGTTAAGAGTTAGGAGTTGGGTTTCGTTATTTGTTTCTATTATTCCCTTTTCTTCTTCTGCTTTCTCTTCTACTACTATTAGATTTGGTTGTTTATAGGTAGCGAAAGATTTTTGTTTGTTTGAAATGGTTTGGGATCTAGGGGAATAAAGGGAGATCTGAAGGGGTTAGATGGGATTTTATTTCTTTTGTTTTTTACGGTATAGATATTATTTAGAAGGTAGTTAGAACCCGTAAAGAGGGTTTGGGGGGTTTTTTAATGGTTTAGATTTTTGGGGATAAAAGGTAAACTACTTCCCATTTCACATTGTTTAATTAATGTCTTCCCAACTAAGCTAGTATTAACTCTCATATTACTACTACTGATTCTATTTCTTGGATATTCGTAACACCAATATTATAAATTATTGTTTAAGTTGTCTAAAAGAGAGATTAAAGAAACCAGCTACATTCGTACTTATCTCAAGACGAAAAGCACCAAAGTATTAAGCCACCGCTACTTCATGATAAGGCGGAGGAGGATCCTTGAGACTCTCACCATCTCCCTCCTGGTGCTCTCTCAAATCATCATGAATCTCCATCACCTCGCCCTCTTGACCGCGATGCAACCTATTCTTCCGCCCTCGTCTGACCAAAGCACCAATCAATACGACACCCACGATGAACGTGATGCCCCCAGAGACGATACCCATTATTTCACCTGTCTTCATCCGTTCATTGGCGTGTCTACCCTCACTACGGTCGTTTCCCATGTACGCAGTGGAGTTATAAGAATAGCACGAGAAATCAGCGAAAGATATTGCCGGGACCGGAAGTCCCTTTTCGGATGCGTGAGTAGAGGTCGTAGATCGGTGTACAATTTAGGGATGCCGAGCTTGAGATGTGGATGTTTTTGAAGTATGTAAGGGAGTCGAGGGATATGCTTGGGATGTGTGAGTCCTTGCTTTAAGAGGAGGTTGGGGGTTTGGAGGTTTACCTTTTGATGTTGCCTGATACGGCTAGGTTGTCAACTGTGCGTAGTGCAGAAAGATTGATCTTCGTTGGCGGGTTGTAGTTTGTTGGTGAAGTGACAGTCAAGTGTTTGACATCCTGTAGAGATGGAAATGATACACTGTAACTTTAGTACTAATATTGAAAGCTGTTTATGGGAATACTTTACTTTGAAAGGTTTCCAGAGAGCTCGATGGCCCCTATTGTTCTGAGAAGTGGCAACGCCATGGCCAGTGGTTCTCCATTATGATGGACTTGAAGTTCGGGAAAGCTCCCCCATATGCCCGGTGTGCCTATTTCTTGAAGTTTTGGTGTGTTCCAGCTTTGAGTATGGTCAGCTTCCGAAACTTAATCCCTAAGAAAGCCAAAGTGCACCTTAATATATTTCCACTTATGCGTATACTTTGAGAATATTCCAATATTGGAAACCCCACTGGGAAAGGGGGTGCATCTTCCTTCGATAGACCATTCAGTTGGTATATTGACGCATGAGAAACATTATAAAGAAGGGGAAAGCTTATTCTGTGGAGGCTTAGTAGAGGTAAACAGGTACTCATGAAGAGGGAGCGCAAACCTGGAGATGTTCCAGGATAAATCCAAATAGGTAACGTTCCTCAAACTTGGAAAGTTTACCGACTCGGTAATGTTCCCCTTGATTTAAATTCTATCATAGACGGTTTCCAGATCCGGTGCCTCGACATACCTCAGATTAAGGGAGGAACTTAACTGGAGACTTTGCATGATCTTCACATTATTTAGGTCGAGAGATGTCACCTGGAAGTTCTCGCGTAAATGGCTGCTGTTGTCTTCGATGGCAAGTACGCTGGGAACGCCAATTAAGGTGAATGGGCCTACGAGACTGGGTTCTATAGTAATACTCGTATTACTTAAATCGCAGTCTCGAGTCTTCGATATCAGTTCTTCTGGACTGGCGACGTCGAGGACTTTTGTTTTGCCGTATTTTGGGATGGTACCGCATTGTGCAGCCCAGGTCACTATATCAAGTTAATGCTTTTTCTACAGTAGAGAAAATACGGCTGGGAGCGGCGCACATGCAATGAGAGTACTTAGCAGTAAAGCTACTGTTGTGTAATGAAATTCTGCCATTACTGAAGTTGTAATTTTTCCTGAGCTAGATTGGCATTTCGAGTCAAGCAATCCACTGTGACAGAAGCAAAAGTTGGGTATCAATTCCTGCTGCCTTGGACCTTATGTATGCAGAATATACAACTGAGGGTGTGGAGGAAGGAGGCGCAGTGGTGGTTGAGTGGCTCAGAGTAGTTAGATGATGACACTGAATACGACGTGCCAATCAGTAACGAGTGGTGAGGAGGGAATGCCTCATCACATGTCTAGTTGTACTTGTGTAAACCAAAAACTACAGTATGAGGGAATATACAAATCTATTTAAGTATAGAGGCATACTGGTACCTAAGGATTGCCTCTATCGCTCCCTAACCAGCAGGCGAGCGACTCGCCTTTTCGTGCCCCTGACTATTACTCCCACATATGCCACCCAATCTGATTACCTAGAGTCACGAATTGAGGGCGGCTTTTATACCGACATTCTAGACCATCACTTTATGCCATTGAGTTAGAAGCTTCCTGGGGTGAGAAACGCTTGATATTCTTTCGCTGTCTGTATTCCAAATTATGCAAAGTATCCGATTCGTCAACCTTCAGGATGTCGCGGTAGATCATTTGTCAAGTCTGTGGACCAAAATCATGTCTATATATTCTGGAATTTCCTTAAAAAAAGCCCCGGTTAACGTTCTGGATTCCACGTTAACCAGATATATACATCGTCTGAGAGATATCGAAGAATCGATGCTTTGCGCGTTCCTCGCTGATATAGAGAATTGTTAATTGTGTCATAAAGCAATTTAGTCAAACTTCACAACGATGACCTAGAAATACCTGACTTTGGATCTTGTTCGTTTCCATCCAGCTAGCTCCTAGGAAAGGGCGGGGATGAGAAAGATGTGAGACAGAAAGAAGGATGTGTCTATCAGAGAACGTTTTTTATATCATAAACTTTCACGAACAATTTTGTGTCACCACTTTCCCCACGGAGATACTGAAACCTTCTACTACATCTTTCTTTTTTCTTCCAAAAATCAAAAAAAAGAAGAGATTCCTCCACGAAGTACGGAATTCTTACCCAGCAACATGGTCTAGTTCACGCCTCTCATTCAGTTCCAGAGCCTCTAATTCCTCAGAGGTCATTCGTATCGCTCTAGTCATAGAACGGAGATGAATAAGACTATTGAAGTAGAGCAAAACTCTTGCCATGGAATCCCCATCGTCAATTCTCCTTCTGCTGCTCAAGATTTCTTGTCTCCTAAGATCATCTCTTCATCTAAAGGCACTTCGAAAATCCCCAGCCCTAAGGTCTTGTACGAATTCTTTACAAGACCGATAAAGGAGTGCCTTGCATTCTTTCATGTCAGATGCAAAAAGCGAGCACGCGTAACTCACTGGGCCCTTTCTACCGGTAGGATCTTCGGCTCCCATAGAAAGTGGTCCTTTTTCGTATAGTCTACTTATTCGTAGCGCGCGTCTGTTGTGGCTTTGGAGATTGCTTGTAGCTCTCTGCAGATTGAAGAATCGAATAAGTTTAGATATGTCTGATTGGTACCACGTCAGCATTTCTTTATAGCAAGCTCTGATATGGCTACTTGCGAATGGGATTTGGTGGCCGGACCAGGAACCCATTCTCCCAGTTACTTTAATTCGTAAGCGACTTAATCAAGATCTTTTGCATCCCAAATAGCAATTTGCTTTTTCGTGCCAACAAAGACAGAAGAGTTGCGTTTTGTCATGACCGTCCGGAAGATCATCGAAAGATCAAATTCTTGACAATTCTTTTCAAAGAGGTCATATATTGGCATTTTCTTTAGTACCCACTCCGCTATCATCTGAATTTCCGTGGCGAGTAGTCTGTACTTCCAATTTCGTACACAATCAGCGGCAATTTCTTGTGTATGCCCGTATCAGTCTGGTCCTTCATGTTTTCCACCTTAAGGATAACATTTTCTCGCTTGTCTATCCCTGATCCGCTTTGATATATCAGACCTGATCCGAGATCTGGAGCAGATAGATGGTAGAAATAGCCTTGCGAGAACACTGACCAATGTGAAAACGAGATTGGCTAAGCACGATGCGGGACGCATGCAAGGTATACATGTTTAAAAGACTCTGGACGCTCCGGTAGGTTGTCAGTAATCTGATCCAGTTTCATGATGCTCATAATCTGGTGCCCGATTTTCCAGCCGACAGGTCTGGTGGGTAGCCTTAAAAAGTCTAAGAGTCCGCCTCCCTTGCTTGGCTCGAGTTCGTCGTCTTCATCTTTCAATGTTCGTGGGTGTCGGGCTGCAAAGTCCCCAATGACAGAATTGGCAAACAAGCCTTGTAAATCCATGTTATATATTGGTGAGAAAGCGTAGTTCCAATAATACAGCAGCCTGCTTCCAAGTCCAGCAGTTTTTCTGACTCCACGTGATACTTTAGATACATAGCAGTGGTTTATTGTGAATGAGGGAGTGCTCACTAAGCAAATCGGTGGGATAAATAGCCTATATACGAGTATACTCCTCTATCAACGACACTATATTTATCGTTCTATATAGTACGATTATTAGCTCTTTTAAATCTAGTTAAACTAAAATAATAAGCTTTAATTATACCTCTAAAACCTCTAAAACGTATATCCTAAAGAGCTTATACTATAAATCTTACTAGAGTAGGTAATCGCGCGTTTATATATATAAAATAAAACCTTTATAACTAGCGAACTCTAATAAGAGTAAGAAACCGCTTAGCTAAAGAAGCTTACGAAATAGTAAGGGTAGAATTATAAGCCTAATATAATAAAGAAAATACTATAAAAGAAGTAATTAATACTATAGTAAAAGTAGGAAGAGCTTATTACTAAGTTTGTTAGTTACTAACTCCTTAAAGGAGATCTACCTCTCTTACTATTAAATAACTAGAGACTTACTAGGGTTTTTACCCTAAGAATAATCCTTTAGGATCTAGTATTACTTAAGTTTAAAATAGTATATTTTATATAAGAGAATATACTTTTATTCCTAGTACGTATAAATTAGATTAACCTTATTTAGATATAGATTATTAGAATAATATAGTTTAATAATAATAAAGATATAGATATATAAATATAAGTAATAATCCGTATAAACGCTAGGGTATAGACGTTTATAGTAATCCGATCGTATGTAATAGACCTATAATAAGTAGAGCCCTTAGTTTATAAAGATAACCGGCTATTATATACTAAACTTAGGTAGCCCTAGCCTCTACTCTATTACCTTAATAGGGTAATTCGTATATAGCTAGTCTAGGTATATGTCACGAATCACGTGTTGGCATGTGATAAGCAAAGACCAGGCGGCGTCCTGACAGGTTAAGCACCAGCAACACACTCTTATAGCAAATAGGGATGCTTAGGCTAGCTAAGCGATCCAGGGATTTCATCTGATAGAAGTCATGTGACCGTCATTGATCATTGGTGATCAACTGAGCAACGCTGAGCTGGATCAGTGGGATCAGGGTGATCATAATGATCAACGAGCAAGAAGGTTCTATATAAGACTGGCACGTCTGCCATTAGATAGGAGCTAGGTGCTCAACTTAGTTATCAATCTTATCATATTAGTTTGACACCTTTGATACAAGTAACGAGTTCACTTCCAAGTGAACAACCCGATAGTCTTCTTCTTATCATAGCATACCAACCAGCGAACACCCAGCCAAGTTTAGTTAGCCAGTTTGAGTATTCGTTACAGCCTTTACTAGATTAGTACGCTAAATTATATAGTATATATAGGTTATAGCCCTCGACGAGGTACTACTTAAAGAGCCTCGCATTTAGGTATTTTGGACTCTAATATTTAATATCTCGGTAAATAGTTTTCCGGAGCTTTTAAGGGTTATTTTACTCTTAGTTTATAAAATCGTTATTGATTAAGCCGTCATTTTTTATAGGGATTATAATTCTCTTAGCTTGTTATTATTTTATCTTCTTTTATATCTAGTTCTTTTCGTCCTTTAAAGATAGCCTAGGATATTAGTACTTATTTTTACTATACTAAATAGAGCCTTTTAATTAGTCTATAATATATAAGAAGTCTAAGTATTTAAAGCTAGCTAATAATATAAGAAATTAATAATAAGCCTCTTTTATAACGTAATAAATAGATAATAAATAGTAGTAGTTTATTATAAATAAGGGAGTACTTACTAAGTAACTTAGTAGGATAAATATCCTATATATATAAGTATACTCCTCTATTAATAATACTATATTTATTATTTTATATAGTACGATTATTAGCTCTTTTAACCTGCCTATATACCCCTTAAGCTAAGTCTTACCTTTAGTTAGTTATATACCTTTGTAGGTAGCGAGGCCTAGGATGTTAATACTTCTTTTTACTATACTAAATAGAGCCTTCTAATTGGTCTATAATATATGAGAAGTCTAAGCATTTGAAGCCAGCTAGTAATATAAGAAATTAACAATAAGCCTCTTTTGTAACGTGACGAATGGACGATAAATGGCAGCCAATGAACGAAGAATTTCTGAGTGGCGCAGTGATACAGTGCCACGAAATTAGGCGAAGCGCAGTCTTAGACGTGTATCCTGCATGTTACAGTACTTACTGTATTATGTAATTGTGAGCACTGTATAGGAGATTTGAAGTCGAGTGGGGAATTGATTCCATTAGAGAATGTATAAGTTTCCTGGAATAACGAAACCCAAGATATATCGCTCTAGCACTATACTGCTACATTTAGACTTCCAAGTAAGGAGGTAATGAAGTGAGTGAGTAAATAAATGAAAAAGGAAGTAAGTTAGGGTTTAATTAACTTAGGAGTAATAGTATAGGAATTAGACTCCAAAGGTAATGTTAGAGTGGTGGATATAACTAGTTATAGGTAATCTAGAAGTAGTGAAGTGAAGAAGTGAAGAAGTGAGACACTAATCCCATCCTAACTACCAACTCCCGCCTCTCACCTCCCAAACCTATATCCCCATCTATCACATCCATCGCACCCCCGCCTTTCCACGTACCTCCAAAGGCCCCCTACTGTTTACTACTGCCTTTTCTGTCCACAGCAAGCCTGCTGATGAGATTATTGCCAGTGTCACTTTAGTTGCGTACAAAAGAGGGTTAATATATGGCACATTTAATATTATCATCAAGTGGTCGCAGTCGAAAACCCCCATGCGTCTGATCATTACTAAACATTACTCAGTACAGTAATGTAAAATCCACACCAGACCTGGAAGTTTCCACTCCTTCCATTCCCCTCAATCATTAACAGCATCAACCGTCGCAAGCAAAGGACTCTTGCACGCTGGCAGTGTACATGAATTCCCATCCACACACGTCAGATCCAACTTTACCGACGTCGCGAAAAAAGTAGGAACATCATATGGCGGTTCAAAATTCCTGCGTGTAAAATCAGTAAGATGACGTCCAATCCTCTTCGCCTTCAAGTGACAATAGCGACTTACACATCATCTCGAAACGTGTGAGCGAGACCGATTTCGAAAGTCCCAAAGGTGGTGTAGCTAGATACAAAACGCCATTGGAAACAATCCGGATCGATGCCTGTGTAATCACACAGCACGTACTGAGAGGGCGCATTGTTGGTCATTGGGATTGTGATGTTGGTGGTGGGGTCTTTTGAGGCGCTGGTTTCGGTCCAGGATTGGGTGCAGATGGTGCTGGTGTTTGAGTTGAGGTCTGTGAAGAGGACTGGGGGTATTAGCCAAATCTCAATAAGAGAAGGGGAAGAGGCTTTACATGATAAGGTGCGATTCCAAATAGTGATACTTGGATTGAGGACGAAGGTGTGCGCGTTTACGTTTGAGATGGCAAAGTCTTTGAGGTCTAGTGATGTCTCTGATCTTCGTTCTCTTGGTGGACGGAGGCAATTAGGGACATTTCTGGCTCCGCAGTTTCCAATAAACGATAGTGCGAAGACAAATGTGGAAAAGAAAAGACTTGAAGAGAACATGTTCGCTTGCTGGCAGTAGATGTTCTCAGACGAAGAACTTTGGGAAGCAAGGTTCTGGTCAATATATATAACCAAGGTATACCAGGCAATTTATGGCCGAAGCTTACAAAATAAGTATACTGTAGTACTGGGAGGGCGTGAATGAGTGTGTGAATCATTCGAGAGAGGGTTCTCGTGAAGAAGGTGAATGCGGAAAGGTGCATAGGAGAACGTCCGATTTCCCAAGAAAGCATTTCACTCTTGAAGCAAGGGATCGGCACTCACCGATTTTGCTAATCTTATTTACTCTGACCAGCGCCCTTAACTGCGGGTGAGAGCTCTTTCATTTCGTTGGACATGGAAATACCCTTCTTCATGACGTGCATTTTCAGTGATCCAGGCGCGGCGCTAGTTTCTGAGTTTGGATTTGGGAGTGGTTACTCGTACTTATAATTTTTACCAACTTTCCCCACCAGCACCAGCTGCAGCACTTCGGAATACCGGTCCAGTATGTCTCTCTCTAGAGATTAAAACTTTATAGGATGGAAAAGTGCGAATCCACGCAGCGACTCACCTGATACCAAATAACCCAGACACAAAACCTATAACCGCAACTTGCGCGTCCCAGCATAGAAACAATACTTCGCGTGGGCCACGTACCCGAAGAACCGATTTCAGCATGGCAAAAACGCGTCCTTGGTTGAGCAATTGCACTACAAAGAGCCTACCTGAGCGACACAAGTGGCTTTGGATGGAAGAAACTTGAAACAAATCCATAGAGTTTCCTATTCTCGATAGTTTCTGGTGGACGTTCATAAATGATCCTTCAATCAGAGAGTTCTGATCTGACCCGCAGAAGGAGGCTGTGTACTGTAAGATATCTGTGGTGGGAGTCCACTTCCAGCATCTTTCCATCATTCCTCATTTGTTTCTGTCTCGTGTCTGGCTTTCTTTCCTATGTAGATGAGATGGGATTCTGTGGGTTTGTGATAATTCTCCGTTTTTGTACGAGGTGGGTTTGCTGCCTTTCTCGTAAGGTTATTTTCGAGGTGTCAGGGGAATTATTTGACCTGTATGTTTTTCGACCCCAATGCACTATTGGATGATGCGTGTTGAATTTGTTTATTGTTTGTTATTCAATAGTAAATGACTGGTGATCATTCTCTTTGGAATTCCGCAGTCAGTACGCATTTATTAGGTCCTTTGTCATTCCTTCTACAGTATCTACTGGATCTTGACAATACCTTGCTTACAATCAATATATCCGAAGATCTACGGTCTTCTCGAAATAAACTTCGGAATTTGTCTTGTCAACATGACGAATTGGTTTCTAACCGGGTCACACATGCTCTTGAAAAATTAACTTGCATGATATAAGCGTGAAGTCCATCCTGGAGGATCAATTGAAAGATCGCACGCTTCCTTGGGTCCCGTAGTTCCAAGGCTAACGTACGAGTACAGTATCTACTTCTTCCCATGCAGCCATGGAAACGTTGGAATAAAGCTGCATTAGGGCCGCATGAAATGTAACGGGCTGCGGCGAGTTGGATGGATGGTGAGATATATTAAAGAGAAAGAAAACCGGAATTTCTGCGCATCTTTAACCAAGATAGGCTTTTGATCGACAGCAGTCCTATTGCAGCAAGGGAAGTGCTTTGTTTCTTTGGTAAATGGAATCTCGAGGTTGAGGTTCTTCTGGAAAAATATGGATGTCATCTGTTTCAACCGATATCATGGGGGAATAAATCACGCCTCGCAATTGACTCCCTTTACCGTTTCCCATTGCTTGCAATGTTCTCGCCTTAGGATGGACCAGTTCCGCTTCAGTTTGTTGAGAGAGTGTGCAGATCCGTATGGATTTCTGCAGATCTAAAGCTCAGCTCTGGTAGCTTGTAACCTTGTTGCTATCAAGCTCTTCTAGGTGGCCACCCCTGGCTAAAATGATGAGCCAACTACGGTGCAGTAGCCTGCCCTGTCAAAGAGCTTGTCTTGTCTGGTTCCATGGGACGATGAAACCGTGCACGATAAACAAGTTCATGATACTGGCGGGGTAGTTGGGCATTAGCATTGTGACGATGAGGCGAGGCGAGGCGATCAGAATGGGGGAAATGGAGAAGAAAGAAAGGCAACCAGATTTGCTCGTTTACCTGCTGATTCCGTAACTATCTATTGTTCGCATTGTCTTTGACATAGTAGTGATTGGGAGCTCCTTGCTCTCTGCTATTGCTCTCTGCTATTGCTCTATTGCTATGCTGTGCTATGTACGAGTAACTAATTTGTACGTCCCATTCCCCCCCTTACGTGTTCCAGGACCAGCACCAGCACCGGCCAAATCCTTGCAGCAGCTCATAGCTCACGCTCACTTGCAGCTCTCCCTTGAGACCCCAACGCATCTCTCAACTCAGCCCCAAATGGTCACGGCCTCCTTTTGCTTGCATCGGCCGTCGACGAATTGCACGTCGCACACTAATAATAGTTCCCAAGCACCGCAACCCATCGTCACTCTGGCATATTGATTGCGATTGCGAATGCGATTGCTGAGCCAGAGGAAAACAAGCAACCGGCCGTTCGCCTCCCATTCCAGAAGCTCGCCCAGAAGGCGTCAGAAGGTTATGCTATGCGGGTGCGGGCATCCTCGCTACCTACTCTCCCACTACCAGCTGAGATCCCAAAGCGGAAGTGCTCCAATTTCCCCTTAACCCCCTCTGCACAGTGCACAGCCAGCTGGAAGCCCCTCTTTGACTGCTGCCGCTGTCATTATTTCTGCGAGTGCACGAGGGATATCGTGAGCAATGCCCTTTGGAATCCATAAACACAGCAATCGCTCAAGACAGGCGTTGAACGATCCGGCGCTGAGCAGCGCGCCTTTAAACCCGCCAGTGGGACCTTCAGGCCACCTGCACCAGACCCCTCCAAGATCGTTCGGCTCTCGCTCAGACGACCTGGAAATCGATCCTTTTCAGCAACCCAATACACCCAGCCCAGAGGGCCATTACCAGCCCTATAACCAGTCCCAACCGTCCGCACCTGAATCCGGCGATCCTCGATCCTTCCAACACTCCAACTCGCCTTCCTCGGGTCCCTCACGGTCGCAGTCCACAAGATACTCGGTTTCTTCGAGTGCCTATCAACACCTCAGCAGTCCCAGTTCGCAGGCGGGCGCCTCAGTCGACGACCTGCTCCAGCTCGACGCCCACCGGCTTCAGGAGCAGCAGTACCAGCATCAACAGCGGGCACATGAGCAGCAGCAGTACGAACAACAGCAACAGGCTCTGCACCAGCAGCAGCGAACGGATAGCCAGCGATACGACCATCAGCGGTACACGCAGCCCGCCCCGCAACCGCCTGCCGAACACAAGAAAAGCAAATCCATCTTTGATCGTATGCGCTCTGGTCGAGAAAACCGGCTATCACAAGAATTAAACAAGCCGCCTCCCGCCTCTTATAACAACTCCAACTCGAGTAGTAGTGGCCTCGTCCGTCGACTCTCCAAACGCCAAGAGAATCCTCCGCCCATACGTACGGTACAGCAGAACAGCTCTCTGGACCATCGCCTCTCCTCGGCGCGGAATTCACGATCACATCTACCCTCACCTCAAGAGTTCAGTGGGAACAACGGCAGTGACTTGGATCCACACCTGATCCGCGAGACCGACCAGCAAACCTCCCACAGCGCGACACAAGAGCTAGGCCAGCACCAGATCATACGAGCTGTGGAGAGTGAAGGAGAGCCAAACGTGTATCCTGTAAGCGAAGACGGTCACCATCAATATCAATCACTTACCCAGCCACAGCAAACAGCCTACCCAGGTCAACATCAACCTGATTCGGGTACACAGGGTCACTACGAAATACAAAATCACGGGCACCCCCAACATCACTTTAGTCTTCAACCAGGGTTTATTTCTCACGATCCTTTTCGCCAACAGAACTCAGAAACAGTATCCCAGCTGTCCTACGACTCGCCAGTCGAACAAAGAGACGACCAGCAACGACCTCCCTCAGTACAATCGAACGGTCAATCTCCTACTAGTTTCGGACCCTCACGTGTACCGCAGTACCCCGATCGCACAACCTCAATTCAAGGCACACGCCCATTATCTCAAGCAACTGTGATGGCCCCAACTTCTGGAGCGTCGCATCAGAATCGCAGATCTGCAGACCCAAAATCTATTCAAGTCCCCCAAGGACAAGGCGAAACGAGGGATGCACCGCCAACTTATACAAGAGGTCAAAACTACCCTAGCAATCAGCCTCCTACCCCAGGTCTAGGGCCTCCATCAAGCTCTCAAGGTCCAAATTATAGAGGGGGACCCCCTCAAAGGGATCAGTATGGCACTGCTACACCTAGCGGAGAGCAAGGTCGAAGTACCCCGCCTCCACAGCCAGGGCCAGATGTTGCAGACGCATATAAGGAATTACGTAAGTTGCAATATTGAATGTCCATTTGGCATAGTCTAATCATTTTGCAGAAATCAAATACAAGAAAGTAAAAGGTTTATATTTCGACAAGACAGCACAGGTAGAGCAGTTGCAAAATACACTAGCCAATCAACGTCTCTCGCAATCACGAACCTCCCTGGATGATAGTGAATACATGACCCGATTTCAACGCCTTGATGGAGCTACGACAAATCTAGCATTCAATATCCGGAAAGATTGGAGATCTGTGCCGCCATGGTTGTCACAATACGTCAATCAGGATGCGATGAAAATTGGCAAACAGGAGATGACGGCTGTTGGTAGAGCCTGCATAACAAAATTTCTTGTGGATGATGTTTTCAATCGAACATTTCATCCTGGTCTCGAGACTGGGTTGAGCCTCAATTTGAGGACCATTGAACAGAATATCCGAAGATTCTCACCAGCCCTCAATAACCAAGAAGAATCAGATGCATTAACTTCAAAGGTTGTACAATGGAGGCTCGCAACTCTTGAAGGCTTGCGAGATGTCCTTAGCTCTCCCGAGAGTGAGGATCATCGTAGGGACTTTTCCCGGGCTGCTACAACGAGATTGACAGCTTCTTTGATCAACTATCTACAGGAGCCCATACCTGCAGGACTTGAAGACAGTGCTGCTATGATCGTTGAATTGGCTGTTAGTATAGCTGCGAACTTACCGCTAGAAAGCAGGGATCTGTCTATAAGCTACCCAATGCCCGGTGATCTGCTTCAAACGTTCTTGATGAAGGTTGAAACTGGTATTCCACCTCTCGACCACCCAGGCGCCGACACAAATAGCGAGATTGACGCTTCAAGTACGGGAAGTGGAGACCGAGATGAAAAAGAGTCAGATGGTGGAAAAAGAAAAGAGAAAAAGGGCGGAATGTTGCAAGCTATGATGGGAGGATCTTCCAGCGGATCTAGTGGAAAGAAACCAAGCATCAGCTCGCAAGGTGGTATTGAGGGCCCTAGCGAGAGCAAGAGTAAGGTTTCTAGCGAAGATGGAACGCAGAAGGTTCGGTTTTCCGGTTTTGTGGGACTTGAGGTTAGGGGACGGCAGGTTCTAGGTAAAGCGCCAGTTTGGACAGTTGGATAGGTGGGATAGATAATGAGGGATGGCAATCTTTTTTGGGTTTGGGATTTTGGAAAGAGGGGGAAAATGGAAAGAATGGAGATTTTTGTTCTGGTTGATCTCGGCCATTGATGGGAAATACTGGCATGTATGCTGGCCGAGAGCTTTCAGGGGTCTCCGAAATTCTACTTCAACAGGGCGAATCCTTGTGGTAGAAAGACTATGGTCATTTATGAAAAGGGAGGGGGTTGGGTTGGAAGGAATATGGATTGAGATGAGAGACCGATAGAAAGATTCTATCCTTTTCTGATTCGATATCACGTGTCTATGAGGTTATGAAATTCTTCAGAGATACTATCAATTCGAAATCTTTCTTACCCATTTGACTCTTTTGTTTTTCCACTTACCCATTGTATCAGCGATTTAGCTTCTACGATGCCTTCAGGTGAGGCGGGAAGGAAAGGTCTGCACGGGAATATGTAATAAGCGATGAGTCTCTACCCCGGGCTGGAAAGCCCAGAACTTATTTACGAACGACCGTCTAATGGCCTCTTAACAGCTGCCGATCAGTGAGTATCTGGTAAGTGAAGTCATCGTTGGTCGCTGAGATAAGGTTGTTGTATACCCCGTGTACATTGAGAGTGCGTTCTCATGCAGATCATGTTGGTAGTCCACCCAGCTGCCAACCAACTAACTTTTAGCCAACGTTACAGTAAGCCAACTTCATTACCTTAAATACCTCTTCTTCCATCTACAACTCAACTCACCCCCTCTCCTATCCAACTATCATCGAAACACCCATCCATTACTTCGTCAAATAACCAGTATAACCTAACAAGATGGCTGAAAATTCCAAGACAGAGAAGAGACCTCTCAAGTACACTGTCACGTAAGTCTTATTCTCATCAGCCCCTCCATCTCATTGATCCCAGAATTGAGACGAAATTGCTTGCACTGCTCGCTCGTGCTGGGACATTTGACATTTCCCGAGAGTATCGCTAACCCACCACCCTGACTTAGTCACTACCGCAAAGCGCAACACACCCACGAAGAATTCATGAAATGGGTCGTAGAAACACATCTCCCACTCGCCATGCTCATCTTCAAAAGACACGGGATCCTCTCCTACTCACTCGTGCGTTCACTCTTCATCCCTCAACTCATCCCATAACAATTTTCATACTAATCGTTGATCACCCAACAGTTCACAACCCCAGCTTCGCTCAATGAGCCCCTGAGAGCGGAGATCGGGAAGATGCGTCCCACCTGGGAATTTGCGGATTTCGACTGCTTCATTGAGTATTTGATCCCGGATATGCAGGCGATTATGAAGGTCCTGGGGGATGCCGACTGGCAGGTGGCTGTTAGGGACCAGGATGAGTGGTTGGAGAGTAAGAAGGCACTGGTTTCTTTGGGGTATCTTACGACGTATTTGCGAGAGACGGGGGAGGTTGTGAATATGAAGGAATAGAAGGACTAGCCTACTAGGACTAGTACTCTTGTACGCGCGGTTGTTGTAAAGGGAGGAGGACAATCGGAGATAGCCATCTATCTTGTTTGATTTTTGGGATGCTCGACGGTGTTGAAATTGATTGAAAGGAGATAGAATACTGCGTTTTGTATGATTGTTTCAATATTAGTAGTATTCCTCGTGTTGCCTTTCGTTTTTCCCAGCGTTATGGAGAACAGCCCAACATGAAATTTCGCCAACATGGTCCCAACATAACTCCAACCTACGTGGTAGGTATTAGCTGGTCCCATCATGCGGGTAAGATATGTTGGAAATTGAAACCCGAAAAGGATTATGCATTGTTGGTCGAGTTGTTTTCTACTCCATGTTGTAAATTGCTTGATAAACAGCAGACAACTCTGCTGAGCAATATATAACTTCAAGTCTTCAACAGCTTAACTCATCCAACCTTATCATATCGATTTCATCTTCTTACCACCATCAAGAAAAGTACAAAGAGGATATGGCCTCTAATGAGGAGGTCAAGTCAAATTCTGCTCTCGCTTACACTGGTTAAGATAATGTGTAAGTCTATATCCTTACTTACTAAGTAAAGAGGGTTAGACGTACTAATTTTGAGTATAGAAATTTTAAAATTTAAGCTACTATATAATATTCCTAACCTTTTTCTTTTTGCTACGTCGGTTCCGTTGGATCTTATATATATAGGTAAGAATTAATATAAGCTACGAGCGGTTAAAGGTTCTTTACTTGCGACGTTTAATACTACAAGTAATCTCCCTTAATTAAGGTAGATACAGCGTTAGCGCTCGCTTAGTACTAGACCTTCGTATAAGGGCTTTAGTAGTAGTAGCTCGAGGCTTACCTATACACGTGACCTACCCGCTTCTACCCCGACCTACCTACCCCTTTGTTTTCTTGGGGGCCAGCCCCCAAACCCCCGTAGCTCGCTACGCTCGAAAAGTAGTTGCATATACTAATTTGTTAGTATCTGCCTTCTAGGAGCTAGACAGACGATAGTTCTAGGGCTAAATACTGTTGCAAAATTGCGATATTATTGTAGGCTTGGGGGGAGTTTTGTTCGGGTACAATTACGTATGCTAAGGCTTAGTTTGTGCCTCGCATCTGTTAGGTGTATACCCTACCAAAATCTACGGTTATACTTATACGTACCTATATATCTATACTTTACTACCTACAGATATTGCAAAAGTATAGCGAGAATACTAGAATATAGCTGAAATCCTTAGATTATTTGTGTCTAACTTTTATACGTTTTATATACTATCTTAGCCTAATACGGGCGTGAGAGTAGTATATATAGGTGGTGGTCGTGGTTTTAGTGTTCGTAGCCCGTGCGCTTAGTGCCTTAGCGCGCTCTTTACTATATATAGTCTATTATTATATAACGTAGCTAGGTACTGTAACGAATACTCAAACTGGCTAACTAAACTTGGCTGGGTGTTCGCTGGTTGGTATGCTATGATAAGAAGAAGACTATCGGGTTGTTCACTTGGAAGTGAACTCGTTACTTGTATCAAAGATGTCAAACTAATATGATAAGATTGATAACTAAGTTGAGCACGAAGCTCCTATCTAATGGCAGACGTGCCAGTCTTATATAGAACCTTCGTTCTCCAAATGTCGTTCTACTCGATCGACGTGCTGCGACAGCTCGCTTGTGCGCGCTGTCGCGCTTCCATCACGTGACTATGAATGCTATGAAATCCTTGGATACTCAACAACCCTGAGTAACCACTGCTATGGTATAACTACTCTGGTTGTATCTGTCCTGTCAGAACGCCGTCTGGACTAACTCGTCGCATGCTAACACGTGATTCGTGACAGTACCTTATAGATACGAGGTATTAAAACTACTAGCGTCGTAATCGTACGCCGCTTCTAACCCCTCTTGTTCTAGCTATAGATATGGTAAAAGTATACGAAGAATACTAAATTATAGCTGAAACTCCGAGATATCCTATACTCTAATAATATACCTTCTAAGAGAGATTCTGGCTTAATATAGGCGCGGGAGTAGTAGTAGTACAAGGGTAATTTTAGTATTCCTGCCCCTATGTACTAACTAAGCTAAGCAAGTCCAGAGCATACCTGTCTCATCTTTTTACCGAATTTATATTAGCTATATTAATTACAGGGGGTTCCTAGCTAATCAGAGACTAGGCACGGACTACAAAACCACCTTAATCCTTAACTCGAAAATATCTCGTAAGACCAGCTTAGTAAGCACCCCCCCCCAACGCACCAAAAACGTTAGCTTCGCTAACGAATGAATAACTGAGATACAAAAAAAGGGGTGAGAGAGAGTCTATAAGACTTTGATATCATTCGACCCTGCTGACCGACGTGAGAGAGATATCATATGCGGCAAGGCTATGCCCTCTGACGGATGATTGATGATGGGAGTTTAAAATAATAGAGATAAGTCTAAATAAACCAACAGGATATGTAAAGCATCATCTTACAGTGTGTAGGCAGAGTAGAGTTGATGGGTGAAAAAATCGTGAAAACCATGAACTAAAACCGAAGAACTTGTAACGAGATATGTAATACGGTGTCTTATGAGTACAATGACCTTTTACTGAGCAGTCTTCGCAATGACAGGTAGTACCATTGCACCTCCCCCCTCATCGAAAGCTTCAAAAAACTCATGTACTAACGGACGAAGTCTCTTTTCACGTGCAGCCTTCAGCCAGTCGCCCATAACCATCAAATGCAATGGTTTCCCAACAACGCCCTCAAGATAATTTCGAAGTTCGCTATGCGAAGTCTTCACAGGATTGCAGTGGTTGAAGAAAATGGGCCGCTGCAACTGGAATAGCTGTTCGGTCAATTCTGATGAACTACGACAAATCCCAATCGCAGATTCACAGGCCGTTTCAATAAGGTCTCTTGAAACATCGTCAACCTCGATGAAGTCCCACTGACCTGTAACGGCCTCATGCTCGATTTGTGGCAATGGACCCAACAGCAAGGAGTATTTGGTCAGCATGCCAATGGCATCGAGCTCAGAAGCGTCATCGCCTTGGACATGTGCTAAACGATGGATATATACAGGTAGCCCGTTATTCATCGCTACCTTCTCCAAAAGCGTCTCGCTGGCCCATTTCGAAGCCGCGTATCCGTCGATCAAGTTCAATAGCTTAGGATCAGCGGGCGATGCAGGGTCTCAAGGAGTGGCCGTTCTTCTTGATTTTGAATGGCCTTAGCTACTGAGACGGTAGATACATAGTGCACCGGTACTCGACATGGAATCGCCATTTCGCAAAGTGTGCGTGTCGAAAGGACGTTAGGACGGCGCAGAGATTGGTAGGATTTTAGAAGAGAAACATCGGCGCCATTGTGAATGATGATATCGGCATGATCTGCCAAAAATATAAACTGAGAGTCTGAGAGATCAAGCGTGAGGTTTGACAGGTCACCAGAATACTCGATCACCTTTTCGCTCTTGACAGATACGTGGCGTGGTTTCCCCGACTGGTCAGGTCGCAGTGATAGGCAATGTACCTGCGCTACTCTTACGTCCTGAACGAGATCTGATAATAGATGTCGCCCAATGAACCCAGTAGCTCCCGTTAATACTACGACGAGAATATTGCATTCCGAAGCAAGTGTAGCTAGCTAAGTCCCTGCGTACTTATAGATGCTATAGTACGCTAGTGGAGCACGCTAGTCCCGAAGGAGTAGCTACGCTTGGAGCTAGCTAATAATCATTCGCTGTTATAAACCGACAAACTCATATTGCTTCCTGGCTTAGCATGGAAAGCACTTTACTAAGATTATTACAGGAGTACCGTACCTACAAGCATAAGCTTGAAACGAAACTAGAAGTACTCGAAGGAAGTATAGAAAACCCACTTCATCTGAAAACCTTCAAATGGACATTGCGAAGGGAAACTTAATATTGGGTACTTGGATATTTGGGAAGGAACGAGAAGTAAATTGTAGATGAAATGTTGGATCTGAACTTGAATATATATAGACGCAACACGATTACGAAGAGGAGAGGAACTTGTACATTCGTTCTTGATGGGTGGATATTAATTGGATAGTACGTGTAAAGAGCCATTTGGGATCTCAGAAGATTCTAGCTACTCAAAAGCTTCAGATTCTCTAACTTTACCCTCCATTGCGTCGTGTAACTTATGTCATAGTAGGACCACCAAACCTGGCTTCCCGTCACCTGCTACTTCCTTTCACAACTACTGCATTTCCCTCCATGATTTGGGTGACTTGGGCTCAAAGAATTGAAAGCCCTCACTCCAACAACTGTCTCCGTCCGGACCATCCTGCTTTGGGCCATCTTTGGGAGAAGTTGGGGCGTCGGCGAATCCGTCTTTGGAGCGCTGCGGTGTTGGGGCGTGTTGGGGCTTCGGTTGAGGCTTCGGTTGAGGCTTTCCGAATAACTTTCAGCGGATTGTTTGGGGGAGGCCTTTGAGGGTTTGCAGCATCGCTCCCCCCCGTGGGTACCACAACCTCTTGGAAAGAGCTCCTTGGTCGACTACGATTGTAGTTGGTACATTGATAGCCGATCTTTCCGAGAGTTGAAGTGTGTTGATGTTTGATGGGAGAGGTACTGCGGTAACCAAAGTTGAAAGAACCGCTATGGCGGTAAATACGTTGGGAATCAACATGGTGAAAATGGACTTTTGTGATTGGAAAGTGGAATAAAGTGAAGGAAGTGAAGGCTTGTTGCAGCAAGAAATTATTGAGAGGGATGAGAGTAGTCAAATTGACAAAGCATAAAAGTTATAAAGCAAAAATGAGTGTGGTAATAAAAGAATGTAGTAACTTGAAAAGGAACCAGAAAGAAAACAAACACACGTGGTGGTGAGGAATAGAAAGTAGGCGAGAAGCCCTTCTTTATATGAACCATTATACTTAAAATTCCCTATATTACATTTGCTTTTAATGCGTGTTACCTGGCCTCGCAAATCCGGCGGTAGAGCAATACCGGTACAGTACATATAAATAGCAAATACGAGGGCTTCGTAATCGAGTAATCGACTTATACACGCCCAAACAAGACTTTACTTCCCCACATTACAGCTTGATCGTTAATCCTCCCGTCGTAAAATGTCGCGTTAGCGAGAGAATGCAGCTCTCTGATTCGTTGGGTTGTATTTGGCTCGCGTATAAAATCCGGATATTTTGTGTTGGCGAGTTTTAAGGTGCGTTTCAGATGAATTTGAGTTCATCCCAAGATGCGACTTATTGTATATTTAGCACTGGACCACCTGATGATCTGACGAAATTCCCTGTGAACTTACCGAATTAGTTACTCCCCATGAAAATGCAATACAAATTCCTAAATACCGTACAACTTTTCATTTCATATCTTACCCACCATTACCACCTACAGTGCTTCTTCGGGTTAAGGTTGGTCCAAGGGGATTGGCCATAAGTCCGAAACTCGGATTCGGTTGCGAGTACATCTCAGATCACGATGCAACTTCGAAGCACTTGTTAAGCCTGGAAGTTGTACTTTTCTGTAGCCCAATATTGCTCAGATCAACACAAGACATGCGATAAAACCAACCATCTCCAACCCGCCACCATCGGAGAATGTAAGAGCAGCAAGAATCCCTACCCATTCCCAAATGAAATATCAGAATGGTACTTGCGAGCTTCTATCACTCAGGAACAGTAATTTCATGATGTTCTTCTATTTCGGTACTATATCCTGCACTGTAATAACAGTAGTTAGCCGAGTTACGAGTTACCGAAAATAACTAGCATTTTTTTAAAAAAGCGAAGAGTATTGATATCATGTGGTGATAGTGAGAGATAGCAGATTTGGACTTAGATGACCACCTGCATCCTTCTAATTGGACAATTCCCTGTGATCACGAATGATGTATTGTTTTTCTGTACTCCAGTACTCTCCAGTATTCACTAATTCCTAGCTCATGTACTGCGCTGCTTTTAAAGTGGCGCTTGTCCTCACTCGTCCCCTCTTATCCCGGTTAAACATCGGGAAAGGTTTGCCCGCCTCGAGAAAAAGATTTCTACGCAAAGCTTCGGAATCGCAAAACCAGCACCAGGCGCAGTGCAAATCACCAATTCGCGATTGTTGCCGTCCACATAATTTCAGAGATGGCGCCCATTGAAAAGAAGCGCAAAACAGGACCCACCAACGATTCTTTTGCTAGGTCCAAAAACCTAACGAATAAAGAGACACGACCGTCGAAAAGACCACGACCCGATGAGGAGGATAGAAAGCCCATCACAGCACCAACAAAGCTCTCGAAAGTGCGCGAGGAGGAGGCTGCATTTCCCAGAGGTGGCGCAAGTCTTCTGACACCATTGGAACACAAACAAATTCAAATCGAGGCCACTCAAGATGTGCTTTTCGAACAACAAGGCGCAAAGTCCTCGCGGATGGAAATAGATGGAGAGGATGGTGAAGATGGACCTTCCGCCGCGAAAAAGCAGAAATCGAGGGGCAAGGGAAAGAATAAGAAAGATGCGCAAGCTGTCGAGCCGGAGGAAGACGTTGTCAAAATTGAAGGACTAAGTTATAAGGTATATTGCCTCTAGTCCCTACATAAAATTTTGGCTAATTCCTTTCAGCGTATCGTTCCCGGATCTTTGGTGCTTGGCCAAATTTCGCAGATAAACGACCATGATATAGCTTTATCTCTACCAAATAACCTGACAGGTTACATACCAATTACCTCCATTTCGGATAAAATCACAAAAAGGGTGGAGGAAATCGCAGCAGCAGAAGAACTCGACGATGATACAAAGGATACCCCCGATGATGTCAAACTTGAGAATTTGTTCTCAATTGGACAATACCTTCGAGCATACGTTGTTTCTACTAGCGACGGACCGACTGCATCGACGACAATGACAAAGGCGAAAAGGCGTATAGAATTGTCAATCCGACCACAACAATCGAATAACTCAGTCTCAGTCCAGAGTATCATCCCAAATAATATGCTCATGGCCTCTGTTATCAGTGTGGAAGACCATGGCTTGATCATGGATATCGGAGTGGAGGATCCTAGCATTCGAGGCTTCATGTCATCGAAAGAAATCGGGAATGGAGCTCACTTCTCCACTATTCAAGAAGGTGCCGTATTTTTGTGCATGGTTACTGGATTGAGTTCAAATGGAAAGATTGTCAAATTATCAGCGGATACGCAGAAGATAGCCAACCCCAAGAAGTTGAGCTATCTTACAGAAGCGCCCACAATCGATGCATTTATGCCTGGAACAGCTGTTGAGATTCTGGTTGTAGATGTTACATCAAGAGGAGTTATCGGTAAAGTCATGGGAATGGTGGATGTGACTGTTGATTTACTCCATTCTGGCGCTGGTCTGCCTGGCAAAGACCTTGAGAAACGGTATAAACTGGGATCAAAAATCAAGGGCAGAATTATTTGCACATTCCCCACATCCGATTCCCCAAAACTCGGTTTCTCGCTACTGGACCATGTTATGACCCTCTCATCTCAGCAGGCTATAAAAAGTGGCGACAAGACGAATCCTTTGAGCATTTTACCTCTTTCTTCGATTATAGAGGAGGTCACTGTTCGCAAGGTTGAGTCAGGCCTTGGTCTTTTCGTTGATGTGGGGGCTAAGGGCGTTCCTGGATTCGTTCACATTTCAAGGGTCAAGGACGGCAAGATTGAGACCATTTCCGAGACGTCGGGCGCGTACAAAGTCGGCTCCGTTCACCGAGGACGAGTAGTAGGATACAACTCAATTGACGGGACGTATCTCCTTTCGTTCGAAGCCAGCATTTTGGAGCAGCCGTTTTTGCAGATTGAGGATCTCAAAATTGGCCAGGTGGTCAAAGGAAAAGTTGAGAAAATCGTTGTGAATGCCAGAGGTGTCGGTGGCATTTTGGTCAATCTAGCAGCCGGAATCTCTGGTCTAGTTCCAGAAATCCACATGGCAGATGTCAAGTCGCTTCACCCGGAAAAGAAATTCAAAGAAAATATGACAGTCACCGCTCGCGTCTTATCGACAGATCCGAGCAAACGCCAAATCAGACTAACTCTCAAGAAAAGTTTACTCAATTCAGAAGCAGCACCATTTCTCAATTATGAGGATATAAGTATTGGCATGCAAAGTCCTGGAACGATCATCAATCTTGTTCCATCTGGAGCCGTTGTGCAATTCTATGGGACGGTTCGTGCTTTCTTACCTGTCGCCGAAATGAGCGAGGCATACATCCAGGATCCAAGTCAACATTTCCAGGTTGGCCAGGTCGTTAATGTTCACGTTTTGAAGGTTGATGCGGCCGAGGAAAAATTGGTTGTATCGTGCAAGGACCCTTCTTCCTTTGGTCTTGCTCAACAGACAGCATTGAAAAGTTTGAAGGTGGGTGAGATTGTATCTGCGATTGTCAATGAGAAGTCAAACGATGACATTTCACTCGAAATTGCAGGTGGATTACGTGCTACGCTCCCGCTTGCTCACCTCACCGATGGTTCTTCGTCAAAAAATGCTTCAGCTTTCAAGAAGATTCGAGTTGGCCAGACCTTGACAGATCTCGCAGTCTTGGAAAAACTTGAATCAAAGCACCTCGTGTTATTGACGAACAAACCAAGTCTTGTGAAGAGCTCGAGAGAGCGCACACTTTTGAGAAGCATGGAGGATGTCAAAGTAAATAAGGTTGCACAAGGATTTGTCAGAAACATTACCCCTGCTGGAGTTTTTGTCCAGTTCGGAGGTGGTCTGACAGGCTTGCTGCCCAAAAGCAAATTGACAAGTGAGGCTATGACCTTATCTGAGTTTGGCATGAAGAAATTCCAAGCACTTGAGGTAAAGATCATCTCGGTAGATTATGAACAAGAGAAGTTCGCAGTTTCTATGTCTGACGTTGGCAACGAAAACCAAGTTTCGCAGAAACTGGCCAATGTCTCAATTGACCACGATGAAACTATCGTTAACCCCGTCGACGATAACATTTCTTCAGCCACGGACTTTACTATTGGAAGACTGACGAAGGCAAGAATCACATCCGTCAAAGATACACAAATTAACGTCCAATTGGCCGACAATATCCAAGGTCGTATTGATGTTTCGCAAGTTTTTGATTCTTGGGAGGAGATCAAAGACAGAAAGAGGCCCCTGCAGAAGTTTTCTCCTAGACAGGTACTCAATGTTCGTGTGATGGGTATGCACGATGCCCGTAACCACCGATTTCTGCCTATTACCCACCGTATCAGCAAAACAGTCGTTTTTGAATTGTCCGGCAAGCCAAGTGATCAGGTAGAAAAGGCACAGGATCCACTGACTCTTGACAAAGTCAAGGCAGGGTCTTCTTGGATTGCCTATGTCAACAACGTCACTGACACTTGCGTCTGGGTAAACTTGTCACCAAACGTACGAGGGCGAATTAATACTGTGGAATTGTCAGACGACGTGTCTCTATTGAAGGACGTTGAAGCCAGTTTCCCTGTCGGATTAGCTATCAGGGTGCGCGTCACTGGTGTAGATGCTCGAAACAATCGATTGGATCTATCTGCTCGTTCTTCAAAAAGCTCAGAGGCTTTAACGTTACAGACTTTGAGCGAAGGCACCGTTCTTCCTGGCAAGATTACCAAGACTTCGGAAAGACAAATTATGGTGGAACTTGGAGATGGTCTTGCTGGACCAATTCATCTTCCAGATCTTGCCGATGACTTCTCTCTAGCCGACACATCCAAATATTCCAAAAATGACATTGTTCGAGTTTGCGTGGTATCGGTTGATCTACCCAACAAAAGACTCAGACTCTCAATGAGGCCATCTCGAGTAATTGATTCTTCTCTAGAAGTTAAGGATGCGGAACTATCTCAGCCCTCCCAAGTGAAGCCTGGCGACATTGTCCGTGGGTTCGTCAAAAGCGTCGCCAGAATGGGTATCTTTGTTAACCTGGGCGGAAATCTGACAGCATTTGTAAGGGTGTCCGACCTTTCTGATAGTTATATCAAGGATTGGCAGTCTGAATTCGAGGTCGACCAACTTGTCCAAGGCAAAATTACTCAAGTTGATCCCTCTTTAAGTCACATCCAAATGAGTCTGAAGCCCTCGGTTATGGACAGCAACTACGTTGCTCCTATTACCTTTGGCGATCTCAAGGTTGGCCAGATCGTCACCGGGAAGATTCGAAAGGTGGAGGACTTTGGCGTTTTTATTGTGATTGAGAACTCGATGAACGTTAGTGGCCTCTGTCATCAAAGTGAGATGGCTGATAAACGCGTTCATGATGTCAAGAAGCTTTACGAAGAAGGCGATGTCGTTAAGTCAAAGATCCTGAAGCTTGATGTTGAAAAGAAGAGAGTTAGTCTTGGGCTCAAGGCGAGATACTTTGACGACGGTGCTGCGGATTCGGATGCTGAGAGCGACGATGATGATCTCGAGGGAGGCGAGGGTGCTCTCTTGAACGACTCCGATGATGAGATGGACGACGAATCATCGGATGGTGAGGAAGGAGGAATCGACCTAGACGATGTAGAGAGCATAGAGGATTTGGACGAAGATCAATCTGGCTCGGATGTTGATATGGAGGATGCTGGCGAAAGTTCTGGCGTCGCAGCTCTTGACGCTGGTGGATTTGATTGGAACGCTAAAATCTTAGACCACGTTGATGAAGCATCCGAAGCAGACTCAGATGCAGATGACGCGAGTGAGAAGTCGAAGAAGAAAAAGAAGCGGAAGAAGGCTGAGATCAAAATCGATCGTACTGGAGATCTCGATGCAAATGGTCCTCAGTCTGTCAGCGATTTTGAGCGACTGCTTCTTGGACAACCAGATTCTTCAGAGCTATGGATTCAATACATGGCGTTCCAAATGCAACTCAGCGAGCTCAGTAAGGCGAGAGAAGTGGCAGAGCGCGCTATAAAGACGATCAACATTCGGGAAGAAACCGAGAAAATGAACGTCTGGATTGCTTTGATCAATTTGGAGACAGCCTACGGAAGTGATGAGTCTGTCGACGACGTGTTTAAGCGAGCTTGTCAATACAACGACCCCCAAGAAATCCACGAGAGATTGGCCAGTATTTACATTCAATCGGGCAAACTTAGCGTAAGTCTGAATGTATGATGCCACGCGTGTTCAATGCTAACAAGTTTACAGAAAGCCGATGAACTCTTCCAAATCATTATCAAAAAGTTCTCGCAGTCGCCAACGGTGTGGTACAACTACGCGCACTTCCTCAACACCAGCCTCGAAGCCCCAGATCGTGCACGAGCACTTCTTCCAAGAGCCACGCAATCACTCCCGCCTCACACGCATCTCAGCCTCACACTCAAATTTGCCGCTCTCGAATTTCACTCCAAATTCGGATCCCCTGAGCGAGGACGTACTATGTTTGAAGGTTTACTTTCCACATTCCCCAAGCGACTGGACATCTGGAATCAACTACTAGATCTTGAAATGCAGCAAGGTGATAAAGATATAATCCGTGGTGTTTTTGAGCGCGTGGTCAAGACCAAGGGTCTGAAACCAAAGGGTGCGAAGGCTTGGTTCAAGAGGTGGTCGGAGTGGGAGGTTGTTAATGGGGATAAGAAGAGCAGAGAGAAGGTTGAGGCCAAGGCCAAGGAATGGGTTCGAGCTGCTGAGTTAAGGAGAGGCGGTGGGGATGAGGAATGATTGAATTGTTGTGATTGCGGTTGTGGATTTATTGTCTGGGAAGCTTGGAGTATGGGTACATTAAAATTTGCATTAGAGAGCTCCTCTTGGCGTGTACTGTATGATTGGGCTTTTTCTAGTATTTGGCAGATGATGAAAATACATGATTCTTTTTTCTTACTAATTACTTGGAACTCGCTGCTCTTGTTCTCTGGTACGAGAAACTGTTTGGTGACATACAACATCTTTCATGTTGGTTCTCTAATACTGTAATCTTACAGTGCCTGGCAGAAGCACCCTTCTATTTAGTGGAGTTCCGCCTTATAACTGCGTTCATTGACCTGGTGCTAACTTGTGGCATTAGATGCATGTATCCAAGACAAGATTGGTAGGAGTAGAACGTCTTTTACGTTATAAAGATAGGTTAATACAGTTTTCTTCTGCTTGGCATCTACCATCAATTATAAACTTTCGCGTAAATAAGCAAGCAATGCAGAAGTGAAAACAATTGTCCAGCTACTTTACGTACGCTCATGCGGAAAAGACGGTGGATGAGACGATTCACGCCTTTGAAAATTCAACGGTACACAGCTAAGTGACGAGCTCTGGGATTTATATAGAGCTAATATACTGTTACACAAAGCTAATATCCAAACATGCCCCCCATATGCATCAAAATACAAACCAACCACCTCCCAAGATGGCAAAAGATCCAGCAATACCCAAACTTACCAAAGTCCTCACATAAAACTCTCTCGCTGGGACCATGGCAACACCCGAGAAGGTATCGATAGTACTTCCAGCAGGAGGAGCTACCGTATTACTTGCACTTGCGCTCCCAGCTACAATTCCATTTCCACCTCCGTCAGTCTTGGGCCCAACACCCGCCGATCCCCCAGTATTAGCAGTCTGCGTCACATCTGGACTACTAGTAATCTGGCTCGCTTCTGGAAGCTTCGTCGCATCAGCCCGAAACTCAACGATCCTACTGGATGTAGAGTTGAAATTCGTCTGTGCCAGTCCCACGACATTACTGTCTAGATCATATACCACGTACGCAGAACGCAGGAAGGTGTCTCCGAGAATTGAAGGTTCACTTGGTGAGCTGGGGAGGATGCCGAAAGCGCAGGTACTAGGGAAGGGGGTCGCGGGCAGGTCTTCCTCGGTGATGTTGAGGACAGTATTGAGAGAGAAGACTAATTCGTCGATGGGGACTTGGATTTGAGTTCCATTCGCTCCGCCAAAACCGTAGTTGAATGTTAATTTCGGGGATTGGGTTAGGATTGCGCAGTCAATGAAGACAAGGCCGCTATCTTCGGTGTCATCTAATGCATTGACGGCTCTGTAAATCGTTCGAGCAAGAGTGCGGGGGAGATACGAAAATGTGGTTCCAGAGTCGAGAAGGACGGGCAACTTGAAGTTCGAGGAAGTCAAGTTGGTAGTGTTTCCTTCCTGTTCGGTGATACTGAAGGAGGACATGACGACCGCCAGTTCTGCATATATGGATGTACCATTTGGATATCTATTCGGTACGACGGGTAGTTGGAATAAATCTCCGTGGAATTTATCGGTGTCCATGCCGCCGAAGATGATTGAGCCCGTCGAAGCATCCTGATCGCTCAGATACAAACTATAAGCTTTTCGGTTGATCACCCTTGCGCTTACCATTCTTTCAATCACACTCGGGTAAGTGAAAGGGGGTGCGACATTCTTTCTAGATTGTGACGCTTGGTTGACGGAATATCCAATACCCATCAATCCACTGCCAATCGTACTCTTATGTGCAAACCCCATCTGCACATTAGGAATTAGGGACCCACTGATTTCTATGGTGTCGCTTATGTAGTCCCCAGTTGCGCCACTTCTGTCCAGGTAGCTGATGTTGAATTGGTTCTGGGCTTGGAGCTTGTATGTGGAGGATTTCGAGGAGGTGTCTAATCGAACATTCAGTGAGCACATATATACATATAGAACACCACTTCTTATAGAGGGGAGCTTACAAGTAGTTCCACAGCCCCCGAGGTGTATACGTTGAAGTCGTGGGTCTAAGCACAAGTCCGCAGCTGAGTCCAACAACCAAACATCACTAGAACCAGTATCAAGAAAGAGTCGCTGGGGCTGAGGCGGAGTTCCAACATCTATCTCGATGTAATATGAACCTCGTGTGAGATTGCTATATAGAGTCGAGGTAATCAATGCCCGAGATTTCAAATCCGGTTCGGTGATCTCTGCTGAGGATTCAGGTCGTGGTCCTCTCGCGATATCCAATATGACAACCGCGAGCACATTTCTACTCAGCCCCGCTATCATGACAAAGAGGGAAAGTAAAGCTATCCACATCTTCGCAACTCTTGTCAAGGGGCAGAAAAGTAAATATAGATTGGAGCCCCGAGCTGCAATAACGATGAATGAAAAAGGATGGCACCACTCACGCTGTACAGATATCGACACAGACAAAAGCAGAGAGAGGAAAATTCCCATTGAAGGACGAAGAGGAACCGAACGGCTCTATAACAAACGAAATACTACCTACGCGCATAAGGAGAACAAGAAGTTAGTCCGCATCGCAGATGCCTAGGTAGGTAGGTAGGTAGTGGCGCAATCACAATACGCCCATCAACACGCAGTTATTTCCAAATCCTAGTTGATGGTGACAGTGATTGGATGCACGGCTAATTCTTCTATGCACCTCCACGGGATTGTCTCCGGCATGACAGAAATACAGATACACGAGTCGATCTTTGCTAGATGCGCAGATTTCTTTTCTTTGGCAAAAATAGAAGTGTTACACCCTTGTGAAAATCGGGCCTGCTTTGGTAAAAGATCCGATTTGGCTGGAAATATATCTCTATCTCGTAAGTTGCGAAGACGGGCAAACTGGACGTCATCGGAAAACAACGTCACATGTTTTGAGCGACCTTACAGTATTTTTGAAATTCAGCTGTGGCAAGTTTAATTCGAAGCTTTATGAACAGTAGCGGGACTAGAGGGCTGTATATTTGCATTTGTTTGGGGCAAGTCCTCTTGGTACACTCCTAGAGACAATGCTACTCGCTTAAAACCCATTACCATGATAATGTGCTATTGAACTACCTTTTCGAGTTCTCGATTTTTACAATGAGGCAGTGTTCGAATTGTATGAATTGATTATTAGCACCTCCTCTACTCTACTCTAGGACCTTCTGGCTGTACCCGATTACTCTACTTTACTCCCCAAGTACTAGTATTTCTTCCAAACGCTACACCCAGGATATCTGTTGATAACTTATAAAGTGTAATTTGCTTTTCCTATACAACCTACTTGTAATATAATATTCCCCATTTTTTTCCGAACTCCATACTAGGTCTCGTCGTATGCCCACGTTCTCACATTGAAACATATTTCATATTCATCCCTCCACAAAAATCCAAAACGCCCTTCCAAGTAACAATGCACTTCTTCTACCATACTTTTGTTTCGAAAATCAGCGAGCCTACCGTCCTGTTCTCATCTGAAAGAATACATACCCGTGAGATACCTGTGAGATTTCGTGTTTTCGTGGTTTTCCTTACGACCCGCACAGCCTGCCGTGATTATGAGTTGTAACCCCTGCCTCGTGTAGCCAATGCAAGGAAGTCATGTGTGTAAGAGAAGAGAGACGAGATATCATCGATCTCTGTCATGTCGTAATGACTCGTAGCGTTCGCATCCATGGATGCCATGTTTCTTCTCCATCATTATAGAGAAAGGTAGAGCAGTAGAAAGACAAAAACAAAACACAAAAAAAGACCAACAACAATGTAGTCGACGAGGATGACATTCACCCTATACTCTTTCTCATACCGAAAACACCCTTCAGTCTGTTAACCGTCCTCTTGATCCTTAAACTCCCACCTTCCTTCTTCTCACCCTCCCCATCCCTTCCTTTTTGCGAGTCTGACCCTCCCACCCGGGTCCCGCTCCCGCTTCCACTCCCACTTCTAATTCTCATTTTGTTCTCCAAACTCCTAATGATCTTCAGTCGTGCCGACTCCTCATCCTCCTCATCATCCTCGAAGACAGATTTCTCCATGAGGTGCATAAGTTGGGGTGGTGGCCGAAAAGGAGAGCTCGGCACGGAACGTATGTATAAAGAGCCATTGGCTGAGGAGGACTGAGAGGTGGGTGTAGATGGTAGATCTGGGGATAGTGTTGTGCAATATGAAAGATTCGAGGGTTGATTTGTGGTCGCGTATTGAGCTGATGCCCCAGGAGCGGTGTTTGCTCGTAGTCTAGAGAGGGGTGGTCTTGGAGGGTGTGGGCGGGAGGAACTCCTGTTGGGCCAGGAGTTGTGGGATAGATTTAGAGTGTTGGGTAGGTAGTTCTTTGGCTTAGGTGGAACTGGGGGAGCTTCTGGTGAGAAGGTACGGTTTGGAGAGTAGTTGTGACTCGGGAATACTAGGTTGCTTTGGCTTCGGCCGCGTTGTGAGTTGCGAATACCATCTAAATGACATGGTTCTGGTTCTTGTTTTGATGATAGGCTGAGGTTGGATAGGTTTGTTGGTGCGTAATTTCGGTTACTTGGACAAAGTGATCCTGCTGGGACTTGATATGATGATTTTGTAGCTTGTTGAGTTTGGTAAAATGGACGAGAATGTGATTCTGGTGATGTAGAAAACCATTTATTCCAGAGTCTTTCTGCAGCTTCTTCATGAATAGGATCATCTTCAAGAGAGGTATCCGAGTCGTTACCGTCTGTCATTTCTGGAGCAGAGCTGTCTGAGTTGATAGATAGTCGAAGTTGGAGTTCCTTGGATGTTGTTCGGCATGCTAAAACTCTGTCGACGTGCCTTTGGTTTGTTGGTGTATCGGATCCTGGAATCTGAATAGAATACATGCTGAGATTGTGTGGATGTTTGGTATGACCTAGGGCGTAGCCGTGTTATCATATCTATTTATTATCGATAAACTCCAGGAATCCATTGTGGTAGTGGTGGCAGAACGGTGGAATGAAGGCAGTTCAACTTGCCAAGGAGGGTGTCCTAGAATTATGCCGAACCAGAACATGTTATGTATCGAGGGATGAACATCGAAATCTCTAAAAATGGCGGGGCTAAAAACATACGTTCCTGTCGTTTTGGCACAGGTTTACACTTATAAATTCTGTCAACATCGTACCATACAGACGTAGAGACTGAGACAAGCATGAGAAAAAACTGGGAAGGTCAGTGAGCCACTAACAAGCGTAGTCTCAAGTCGAAAAGACTCCCTTACGCACCCAAAGCATAAAGCACAACTAGAATAGAGTCCTTGCAGACAATACCAATGTAAAGGGCGAAAAATAAAAACATTGGGAGCCAATACGCGCAACCTTGCAGGTACGCCGACACGGCTCGGTAGCCGTCACTCAGAAAGGGATGAGAAAAAAGATCTAGAATGATCAGTATTGTGGGGTCGACATATGCGGGGGAGGAAAAGTGACAGCCAGCCTGCGCGTTGGAAGTTGGGAATGTCAAAGTGTCAAAGTGGCCGGGTTAATTCGCTTAAGTTGTGGATGGCGCCCTTGCAGCCACAAGGGGGAAAATGATGGTGTGGCTTGGAACCAACCAACCCTTGAGGCATTTTCATATTTTTTACTTGGGATGCTCTGTTTGAATGGAGAAAGAACTTTCAACTGTACAAACAAAGAGTACCGCAATGTGGTGGTTTAAACATACAACCTAGTTTTTCAAAAAGAAATGTGTATTATTTTTAGCTAGTATATAGTATCAATTAAGTTTCTGTATTTTCCCGTGCGTTCCAAACCCGGAAGATTGGTCTATTTGTATTGTAAGATACATTTCGTCTATCCTTGAAAAGTTTCCACGAAAAGCTGAATTGATAGAAAGGCTTGATTCTTTTGTCAGATAAATTATCTACAAAGTGAATACAGCCTCTACGTAGGCAGATTAAACCACACACTTTACGCCTGTGCAAACTACTCTCACTCTTTCTTTCCGTAGACCCTCAAAATAAATGATAATTATAAGAATATGAATCAAATCCCATTCTCTGGCATCTGTTTTGTGAAGACAGAACTTTATAGATGTTGAAACAGGTTAGTACTTAAGTAATACAAGGACTTGATCGAGCATGTAGCAGAACCAAAATGCAAGGTTCAATTTGCCTACGTAGAGACAGCTCATGTCCTCTAGTGCGGGGTTCATTAAATACACAGTACCAGTTGTCAAAATACGCACTTCGCCTCCGTCACTGAGTTCCACCCATGTTTTAGGATTATAGTGAGAGTGAATCTAGGTATACCAATGTATTTTCACAATTCACTCGCCAGAAAAGTGATTTAATCCATACAATAAGAGCAACTCTGACATTCTTTTCCAGTCTTTCTTCCATAACGACATGTTTCTTCCCGTGGACCAGAATCCTCCAATCTCACCACAAAACAAAAAGCGTTGACCGCACTCATCATGTCTCTACCAATCCTTAGAACCTTGTTCATTACCACGGCCATTCCCATGGTGCTTGCATTCTCAAGTGCATTCGCAGCATTTACATGCAACGAGACGGCGCTCGCAATCGCCGCGGACGCCTACATTGCAGCCCAAACAGCAGGAGACTTCGACCTTCTCCGACCCGCTCTATCCGCACACGTCCTGTACGTGGAAAACAATCAAGTCATCGACGTCCAGACGGACGTACTTACCCAAGCCCTGAAAATCGACCATCGTCGCACAACCACGGACCTGGTCACCTGCGCTACCTACATCGAAATCATCGTCACGAATCCCGCGAATCCATATGTCATCGGCACACAGCTTCGGAACGATGATGGGCAGAAGATTACCTTGATCGATACCATTGCTTCCACCACCAATTCCTGGCGCTTCAATGCTACAAAGACTTTAGAATACGTATTGCAAGAGGATTGGTAAGTTAAAAAGACTCTGTGGGGGCGAGGAGAGGGGGTTCTTCTATCGTAGTGGTTTCCCTTTGCTCTCGAACCATACTCGAAACCCTCTCTCGAGGTTTCGCGAAGAAGTAGACTGACTCTGAGATCTTCATAATCTAGGCATCCCATCCCAGAAGATAAGCAGGACAGTCGGGAGACTCTTTTAGCCGCTGGAGATGCATACATGAATATCTGGGGCAATGCTTCCGCATTCGACCTCGTGCCATGGGGTACACCATGCGAGAGAATAGAGGGTGGTGATTTAGTCCCAGACTGTCGCTCAGAGTTCGACCCCGAGCATGCAACGGCTCCACCTGTCGTCCATAGAAGATATGTAGTCGATGTATCACTGGAAGCGTGAGCATCTTGAATGAATTTGTGCATATTAAGAATGTGGCTGATAGCCATGAGTTTCGTCTTGAGGGTGGGAAGTTGAGATATGTTCATACGATGACGGTCTGTGGTGGGAACCCTTGTTGATTTGGCGAGGGCGGGAATACTCCTGTATGGGAACGCATGGAATGGCGGCTGATGGTCATGAATTACAGCTTCAGGAGGGAAATTGAGATGAGAAATCAAGATCTCGTTTGGACTGGAAGCATAAAATGAATGCAATTGATTTGTATTTCACCTGACTTATTCTTGAATTTTCCAAAGGTTGTCTGAATGTAAAAATATTCCAGCCCTATCGTTTTAAAGAACATGAAAGTCTCGATTATATTTACCGTTAATTCTTGCAAAAAAAGGCACATCAGCTCCACAGCTATCAAGTTCCCCATACTGCGGTACAACTCAGAATACCCCAATAGCATAAACAACATCCACACAAGACAAAGTACTGTAAACTCCATATCCATATCCCTCACCTAAAAGGACCCCAACCTCCCACCCTATCAAACCCCCTCATCATTCTCCACTTCCAGAAAGCAACAACTCCAAACCCAACGCCCAATAACAAACCCCAATAGCCTCCAATATCAATATTTTACGTCCAACAAACTGCGCAGTAATCAGCTTTGCAACAAAAAAAGTCTAGTTTCACAATCCAATTCAAAGAATAAAGCAATATATGCTGCCACCGTGCCATGGGTTTTTGAAGGCCTAAAATCGAGAGATAGAGAGAGAGGAGTTAGAGGATGTTAATAATATAACCGCTTTGGAAGGGGATATAGCTGTCTTTAGGACGCTAAGTTGGTAGGGGTAGGGAAGGTGGCGAGTGAGGAGCTGAGATTTTACAGTACTTCATTTTACTCGGTATGGATGGTCCTCGCTTAAACGAGGGGTCGGCACTTGACGTTTTGTAAGTCTTACCGCACTTTTAAGTCTTACCGTATATTCAGAATGTTCCTGGTTGTTACTATGTATCAATTACTACAAGTAGGAGAATACTTCTTGTTGGACTGGCTTGAACTCAATCTATCCGCCCCTAGGCAGCTTCGTCTGTCAAAGCAAGCTGCCCGACTTAGAGAGAGTGATCTAGTGTAATGCGGCGTGGATTATTCAAAACCACTGCTTAAAATTATATCATACAGCCAGCGTATTTGTTAGCCAAGCTTAGATAGCGCCTTCCCATTCAAGGACGCCACCCCCATCCTTTTTCATAACCATTTATTCCCTATTCCTTCATGTTTCTTGCTAAAACCGTCGTGATAGAACCCATTCAAGTAACTCGTTCAAACGTCCTTCTCTGTTTTACCATCGACACTTGGACCGCCAGCAACACTGGCAACAAATTCCTGGTATTTGAAGACCTCCCCACGCCTTCCCATACCACCACCAGAATGTTTTCCAAATGCTCTTCGTGATGTAAAACCGCCCATGACTTTATCAATGTCCCTCTCTGTCAATGCTTTCTCGCCGGGATCTGGCGCGGTATGTAGTAACGCATCCCGGAGTTCATTGAGATCAATTTGACCACTGTCATCTTCATCAAACGCAGAAAATGCCGAAAGCATTTCCGCAGAAGGAGAAAGGGTAGCAAGCAGCGGCGCAACCGTATTTAAGAAGGCTGGAAGGGTTATCGTCTGAGAAGTCGACGGAGGAAAGAATGCTGTGATTTCAGAGGCATTGGCAGATAATCCTGCACGGTGTTGTTAGCGACAAGATACGGAGAATATGTGGAGGTCAGCATACCCAATTGTGCTAACATATCAGCAACATCGTCTCTTCCAACTTGGCCGTCACTATCTCGGTCCAAGATCTGAAATCCTTCCCTCAGTTCTCTGACTTGTGCTGGCTGAAGTCTTGACAGTGCACTACTTGCATCTACGGTATGATTTCTGTTGGTGAGCATGCCGCCGAATCCGGGACTACTAGTCCCTCGCACGGGTGTGGGAGAATGGTCTCGTTCTCGACTGGGAGACTTTGGTGACGATGTCGCGAATGCTGCCAGTCCTCGAGGGGTCCAAGAATTCGAGTCTGGTTTTGACTCTATGGGTGGGGTCGAAGTCTGAGCGAATCTAGAGGGGGTTGCCATCTTGGTGGGGGAGGGAGTAGGGGTGGTTTGTCGGAGAGGAGAGGGAGATGCGGGACTCTCTGGTCTACGGAAAGGAGAGGCTCTCGGCGAACCGTAGGAGAGAGGTGACGGTTTGTATGACATGGACTTGGGATTCGTTGTCAGTCAGAGCTTTTTCGGAAGGGGGCTGCGGATGCAGATGCTGTAATATTGTGGAGATCGGGAAGTCGCGAGGGACCTAGATCTTACCATGGTTACGAGGACGCTTGTTTTGGTTTTGCAGTTGGATGTTGGTTGTCAGCAACTCGAATGAGTACCTGGGTACCAAGGTAGTCCACTTGAGAAATACACGAGGCAAACTTGATTGATAGGTAGTTCTGACGTGCGTGTGCTTGTAGTATGGTAGTTCTGACGTGCGTGTGCTTGTAGTATGGATGTCGGTTACTGGTGTTGTCATGTAAATACAGCCCTCAACTACGGTTGCGCCCACTTATCGAGCCCACTTTGGACTCACCCAGGGCCAGGTAAACAAAGCTGCCAGGTGGAGCGGTTCTGCACGAAGTCAGGTGAATTTAAATCTTGTTTGCCTGAGGCCTCGCGGTTTCAAACTCAGGCAACAACTACAGCCTCAGAGACCCACACGGACCACCATCGCCCACCCACAGTGGCTCCGAGTAGACCGGCTAAATCTCCGGGCCGAGCTATTCGCGTGGACTTGCGCCTGCGTGCCTGCGTGTCTGCGCTTGCGTTGACAGCTATGCCTAGTCTTCCCTTCAATTCAGAAAGCTAAACCACAACCCAGATCGATCCATCTCATCAGCAACCTTACTTACCTTGGATCCCGCAAAGATTCACATCGCGGATCCTTCCATATTCTCACACCAGAACATCTAAATCTTCCATCATGCCAGGCCTTACTTCAGCCTCCGGAGTCCTTGGATTTCTCTCAGACGAGGAGCCGGAGCTCAAGGTGTTTGCGCTTCAAACCTTGAACGATGATATCGATACCTTGTGGACCGAAGTCGCGGATTCAGTTGGTCAAATGTGAGTGTTCTAGTCTTTGTTCTTCTTAGTTATTCGAGACTGTATCTGCCAGATAAGCACCTGGCAGTTGTTGGCATTATTATTGACGTGTTGGTGATAGTGAAACTCTGTACGAAGACGAATCCTTTCCCGAACGTCAACTAGCTGCGCTAGTGCTATCGAAAGTCTATTATCACCTCCAAGAATACAATGAGAGCTTGACATTTGCTCTGGACGCCGGTGACTTGTTCAAACTCGATAACCAAGGCGAGTTCGAAGAGACCATCATCTCCAAATGTATCGACACCTACATTAACGTTTCGGCCGCCCGGAATGCCACCCCTGAGCAACCTCAAGACAATCTCACGCTTTCTACATCCTTCGTGCAAGAGACCGAGACACAGGCGAAGATTGCCGGGTTGACGTCTCCAACGACTCCCTTCTCTCAATCGACCTTGCCATCAAAGTCTCTGCTTTCTAGAGCTTCGACAAACAACTTGGAGACACCTGCGCAGGAAGGAAAGCTTATTTCCGGGCTTGTGCCAGAACGTCTAAAGCATGCCGCTCTCGAAAACGTGATCGAGAGACTCTTCGAGGGATGTCTTCGTGAGGGCAGATACAGACAGGTTGTTGGAATCGCCATCGAGGCACGCAACTTGGATGTTTTACGCCGAGTAATCAAGCGCGCAGCTGAGGATGAGAAGAAAGTCCGAGGGAAACAAGCCGAGTCTGGTTCCGGGTCTACTGAAGAATTGATGGAATATGTTCTGGATATCTGCATGGGCGTTGTACAAGAGAGAGGACTCAGAACTCAGATTTTGAGATTGATTTTAGATCTCTTGTCTGATATCCCAACCCCAGACTACTTTTCTATCGCAAAGTGTGTGGTGTATCTCAACCAAGACGAAGAGGCTTCATCAATGCTGAAGAAACTTGTGGTGTGTACACTTTAGTCACCTGTGAATGATTTTGACTGATAAACTATAGGCAAACGACGACCAGAACTCTACTGCAATCGCGTACCAGATAGCTTTTGATCTGTACGATAATGGAACCCAAGAATTTCTCGCCAAGGTGATCAAATCACTACCTGTCAAGGTGGAAGAGGTACCAGAGGCAAATGAGAATCGTAAGTACAATTTTTAATTTTTTTTTGCAAGAGTGTGATGGTTAGCTAACAAATTTTATAGCTACGGAAACCGACCAGCTCCTCGGAGACTTGAACGACAGCACAGGTGCACCAGCTCCAAACCAAGAAAACATCTCAGACAAACACTTTGGTGTGTTTGACAGAATACGCAAGATTCTCGATGGTAGCGAAACAATCAAACTCAACCTCGAATTCTTGTATAGAAACAATCGCACGGATTTGAGCATTTTGAACAAGGTCAAGGACAGTTTGGAGGGTAGAAACTCGATTTTCCATACAGCCGTCACCTTTTGCAACGCATTCATGAACCAGGGTACAACCAACGACAAATTCTTTCGAGACAATTTGGAGTGGCTCGGCAAGGCTGTTAATTGGTCAAAATTTTCTGCCACTGCAGCACTTGGTGTGATCCATCGTGGAAATCTCACCCAATGCCGCAAGCTACTCGAGCCGTATCTCCCAAGAAGATCTTCTCTCGGTGGTTCCATTTTCAGCCAGGGTGGTGCACTTTACGCCTATGGTTTAATTTACGCCAATCACGGTGCAGAAGCACTCCCATATCTCAAAGAACAGTTCACGGAAGCAACAGAGGAAGTGATTCAACATGGTGGTGCTCTTGGATTGGGTATTGCAGGAATGGCAACAGGATCCATGGATATCTACGATGACCTCTCAAAAGTGCTTTTCACTGACTCCGCATTGAACGGTGAAGCTGTCGGTCTTTCCATGGGTCTCATTATGCTTGGCACTGGTAACATCAAGGCCTTGGAGGATATGATAACCTATGCCCACGAGACACAACATGAGAAGAGTGTGCGTGGTCTTGCTGTTGGTATGGCATTGATCATGTATGGTCGTCAAGAAGGCGCCGATGAGCTTATCGAAGGTCTTCTCAATGATCCTGATCCAACTTTGAGATATGGTGGTATTATGACTGTCGCTTTGGCCTATTGTGGTACTGGTAGCAACAAAGCTGTGCGAAAGCTCCTCCATGTTGCCGTCAGCGATGTCAATGATGATGTGCGAAGAATTGCGGTCATGAGCTTGGGTTTCATTCTTTTCCGAAAGCCTGGCAGCGTTCCTCGCATGGTTGAGCTTTTATCTGAGTCTTACAACCCGCACGTCAGATACGGAGCTGCTATGGCTCTCGGTATTTCATGTGCTGGTACAGGATTGGATGAGGCTATTGATCTTCTTGAACCTATGATCAAGGACCCAACAGACTTCGTACGACAGGGCGCATTGATCTCCCTTGCCATGATCATGGTACAACAAAACGAAGTTATGAATCCTAAGGTGGCTGAGATACGCAAGACCATGAAGAAGATTGTCGGTGATCGTCATGAGGATGCGATGACCAAATTTGGTGCCGCATTGGCACTGGGCATAATTGATGCCGGAGGACGGAACTGCACCATTGGACTACAAACACAAACTGGCAACCTTAACATGGCAGGTATCGTGGGAATGGCTGTGTTCATTCAATACTGGTATTGGTTCCCATTCACTCACTTCCTCTCATTGAGTTTCACACCAACTTCGATGATTGGACTCGATCATGACCTTGATGTTCCAAGCTTCAAGTTCTATAGTGCTACTCGTCCGAGTCTCTTCGACTATCCTCCAGAACAGGAGGTCAAGACAGATGAAGCGCCGACACTAATCGCCACTGCTGTTCTATCAACCACGGCTCAAGCTAAGCGACGTGCTCAAAAGAAGGAGAGAGCTCAGAGACGGGAGAGCATGGATATCAACCAAACTCCAACAACCCCCAAGATCACTGCTCCTTCTGGCGACAAGATGGATGTCGACGAGGAGCCCAAAGATAAGGAGGCAAAAGCAGATGACAAGAAGGAAGGCGAGGAAGGTGATAAGGATATCTCTCTAGCCGAGATTGCCAAGAAGAAGTTTGAAAAGGAAAAGGTCGGATACGAAATTGAAAACATGTCCAGAGTTCTCCCAGCTCAGCTCAAGTTTGTCAGTTTCCCAGCTGGTCGCTACAAGCCTGTCAAGAAGCCAACTGGTGGTGTCATCTTACTTATCGACACCCAATCTGGTGAAGAAAAAGTTCTGATTGAGGAGAAGCTAAAGAAAGCCACCACCGAAAAGGCTGCTGCACCAACAACACTAGAAGATATGCGCAATGAGTCTTTCAATCTTCGTCGTCAAGCCGAAGCACAAGGAGAGGCATCCGGAGCTGCTGCCGCTGCCGGCGTCTTGACTGCTGTTGATGAGGATGAAGAAGGTGGGGCAGAGGCCGAGTGCCCAAGAGATTTTGAGTACTTCACGGATAATGAGGAAGAGTAGATGATGGTGGAAGTGTAATTCTAGATTCTCCTCTTGTGTTACCGACTACATGGCTCAAGGCATGCATGGCGTCGGTACCAAGAGAAGCATACAATGTATAATACAAAGAAGACTTGAGCATTTCAGCGTTTAATGCCTACGGGCTTTTGATCTTTCCAACTTGCAGTCTTCCCTAGTTCATTGAACGTAAGTATGTATTTTGATCCGACCGCACTCCACAAATCCCCAGCGCTGGAATATCGTCATGCTGGCTCATTAATATTGTATTCGATCAATGGACCAAGAGAAGAAGCTTCACCCCCGAATGTAGCCAGCTCAGCGGTAATAGATAACTCGTCTTCGTTTCTTGTTTGTGGGTCTATCTACATGTATGTATGGCGCAGGTGGGGTAGCAAACTGACGATACGGTACTATATTCTCTGTAGACACACAACACTGTCGTGATACCAATCATGGGATCCGCTTGGTACATTAAATAGCCCATACACATCCCATTTTATCGTCCCTATCATTTTCCCGGAAAAGATGAGATTAATCCACTCATTCTAGAAATGGCGAAGGCACTTACTTACCTTCCAGCTTTGGTAAACATGGAGCTTATCAACATGTCCTCAGAGAGTACTGTAATCTTACTGTAAACAGGTAAGATTACCCGCTCATCTCGCGTGCCGTGCTTAAATTCCCTTGATATCTGTATGGCGTATATCATACCCTTACCCCTATACGCTATATACCAATCAGCACCTAACAAAGCCTCAATCCCCCATACTACACCTGTAGTCATTACAGTACAACCCATCCCGAATTCCAACAAGGAACCCTTTTACTCCACACCATTCTAAATACCAATATGGCATTCGCCTCCACATTCCCAGATCTATCTTCCCTCAATCAAGACCCAACCCTCATGATTCAAACCCGCCTTCACGCAAAGACCATCATGAGTCATGGATATATATTATACAGACAACCCCAGTAGGTGATACAGTACCCAACACAAAACCACGAGGAAGTCGCTGATCGCGAGCTTGAAAGATATCAAAGTGACGCGAGACAAGTTAGGAGAATGGCTGAGGTCATGATATTGGAATGATAGGAGAGGAAGTATTAGAATGAAAAGAGGCTGGGTAGGGTAGAGAGTATTGATTACATTATTCTTCTGGGTTTGGGTGTTGAGTTGTCCTTGGTACTAGGAAGTATACACTATACACCTACGGTATGGCGTAACACAATCGGTGCCAACCCAGAATAGATCAGACCACCGGACGGGACATGAAGAATAAGTTGAATACCCAGAAGTTCTCAAATTAGACCATTTCAGATCATTCAGTTGTTGATTGGAAAAGTCCTTGGATTGTTGGAAGTTGCACTGAGATATCATTCTCACACGGCTGTGTACAGTACTCTGGGGATAATCATGACTACTACTATACCACTATCCTACACGAAATCAAATAAGAGATACAAGTAAATTCACTAAAGATGTACAGTACACGGCTAATCCTCATTAAATTAAAGGCGGCCACAAGATCTACAGCCATCCAAAGCTTACTATTAACCAACATCAAAAAGAAGAAACTGAAATGCTATTCTCGGGACCAACTACAACAAACTAAGGTATCGCAAAAGGCGTGTAGTGAAAAAAACGAATTTCCTGTAATCAACACAATATTGTAGCACACTCACTACCAGCAGAAAACGCCTGTTTGTCAACTCCGTACTCCATGCTAACGTCCCTTTCTTTCAGAACATGCGAGGCAAACAAAACTTATCAATGATCCCATTTTTGGCACCCAATATCCATCCGCTTCCCACTCCTTCCCCTTTCATCAATCACAGTCGCATATCCTATACCCTTGAAATTCCCATTTACGTTCCCTCCATCATTACAATTGGCTCTGTTGTGAAGGCAATTGAGTTGGCTGCATCGCCTCAATATCCTTGACCGTTTCATTGAATACTTCAACCAAAGTAGCCGCAACCTTGTTTCGATTCCATTCACCCCTCATCTTCCAAATTGTCTCCATGAGTTCTCGATTAACCTGCTCCAACTGCTCAACATTTAAGCCGCTGCTTCCTTTGATGAGAGACCCAAGTAGCATTTCAACAAAATATGTATCAGAGACGAAATCTTGAGATGGATCTTGAGAAGGTTGGGACGATGGGATCTCTTCTACTGGAGAGTCATTGAGAATATTCGCAAACCCTGATGGCTTGGAGATAGCGGCTGCTCGTGATGGCGCCTTGAAAGGTGGAACAGCTGGGTTCTGTGAATACTGACTACCAGAACTAGGTGTTTGCGTGAATCCTTGAAGAATACCACGTGCGATCCCTTGAGCTTGAGAGTGTGGCCATTGATCATCGCTGCTTGGATCAGATGCTCCCTGTTGACTTTGCCTGAGGGATGTATTTTGTTGTGTGTCGGGTAACTGCGAATCTTGGGGTCGATCTATTGGACTCGAGTTCAATGCACCATAAGCAATTCCGTTTGTCGCTTGCGTGCTCCAACCCTCGGAGGTTTTCTTGCCAGAGGTGGTAGTGGATGCATCATTGATCAACTGGCTTGGCGAAGTTCCATGGGGAATTTCCTGGAAGGTTGACCTCTGAGATATTTGAGAGTTTTGTGCAAGCCCGCTCAATCTACCACGCATCTGACTTGGAGGATGCATCGGGGTTTGCGAGAACGGTTGAGAATGGTCATTTGCGCCACTCATCTGAGTATCATAACCTGGATGAGCGGAAGACCCATTCGTGACCAGGTCGGAAGTGACCCCATTCGATAGGCTACTAGAACCGCGAACTGGTGTCTCCAATCTTCGACGTTTTGCAGCAGTTTCGTTCAAAAGTACCGCTTCGGCGTCTGGAATGTCAGACCTAACTACACCTCCGAAAACATCTTGCAGTGCATCCTTCATCTTTTCCTTCTCTGCTCGCTCTTTGCTTCGTTGAAGCTGTCGTTGATATACATTCTCACAATCAGCAAACTGCGGCATTGCTTCAACACCCATAATGTCAACCTCGACGTTGGAAACGAGCTCGTTCGCTTTGAGGAGTCGATCTCGGTCATCCATATGCTTGGCATCTTTGGCGAGTGATTTGATATCCTGAAGAAAGTCTTTCGGACGGGCATAAAATCCGTTCGAAAGCCTCTCTTCAATAGTGGTAGTCTCAAGGTTATAGAAGAGCTTTCCACTGGCAGTTTCCCGCAAACCATTAATGCCATTTTTGTCCGTATCCAATTCATATGGACGGAACTGAGGTATGTCGGGTCGTACAAAATTAGGATCTTGCTCATCAATGAGGTATTGTATTTGAGATTGCTGAATCGCCGGGGTTCTAAATTTTCGGTACTTCTTCTGAATTTGGTCCATGATGGGTTGGATCTGAACCTTGAGAATATTAAGTAATTGATGATCCTTCTTCTTTTGAGCTTTAAGTTCCTCCTTAGTTGGTGGCTTTGGCAGTGGCAGCGGGGCAACCTCCAAGACTTCAAGCTTTCTCTTCTTGCGATTGAGAGGTTCTGGAAATTCTTGGGGAGTCTTCTTCACGTACTCAATGATTGTAGAGAAGAAGGCCTCTCGTTGTTCCTAAAGCCTGTTAGTCATTATTGGAAAAACGAAAGCAAGTACCACAAACCTGGCTGGGGCGTTGAATCTCTATGCGATTCTTGCTTGAGAACCCAAAGAGATTTGTGAGCACTCTCGGATCTACATCTTCTGCCCTGTTCTCGGTAATGCCCAGAACAAGCACAGGGTCTGTAGGAGGAATAGATCTTAACAAAGAAAGAAAGATATCCATCTGCGAATCACTCAAAGTATGATACCATGTCTCCACACCGGGAATGTAAATGACACTTGGCTTGTGTCTCTTGACCTCAGCGAATAGCTGTACAAGTGCTGTCTCCGGAGACTGTTTGTGTTAGTATCAAGAACGAATTAAGTGCAATAGAAACCTACTCTTGCAGAATCACTGAATATAGTTGGTAGGTCAAAACTCTGCACATGGAGGCCTTCGAAATGGTTCAAAATGGCCCCGCCGAGATAGCCTTGACCCATTCCAGGCTCACCACAAATAAGGAGTCGAGGTCGGAAAACGCGGGAGTTCTCGAATTCTTGTTGCATGGCTTCTCGTCCAAACCCTTGGTCGGCATCGTCATATTGTTCAAACATTGCTTCTTGAAGTGCGGTCGTCTTCTTCTTGATAGGGATCAAATCGTCTAGCGCGTTCTCAATCATGCTCAATCTGTCCCGCAGGAGTGGTTCTACACGCTTAGGCAATGGTGCTGCACCAGATGATGTCGAACGCTCCGAGGAAGGTATGATCTTTTTCACAGAAAGCATGAAATCCTTGGCCGTGATTTTGATCTTATCGGGATCAACTATGAGCTTGTCGTTGCACTGGTAAATCTGAGGGTAGGTACGTTGAATAGAATTGAGTGCTGCTTCAGTGCAAAGGGCCCGAAGATCCGCCCCTCCGTACCCTTTGGTGACGTGGGCCAATGAATCCTTGAACGAGTCGTCAATTCCCCAATCTTTGGTGTTTATGTTGATGATGGATTTTCGTGCTGCAACATCAGGAAGTGGGAAGTAAAACTCTCTGTCAAATCGGCCAGGTCGACGCAAAGCTGGATCTATGTTGTCTGGTCTGTTCGTTGCGCCGATTACAATGACCTGACCTCGACCATCCATACCATCCATCAACGCAAGGAGTGTCGATACAATTGACGCATGAATTTGTTCTTGCTTACTGGATCGCACGGGTGCAAGACCGTCGATCTCGTCGAAAAAAATGATACTTGGTTGGGTTTTTCTCGCCTCTTCGAACAACAGTCGAAGCTGTCTTTCGGCCTCACCAACCCACTTGCTGAGTGCATCGGCACCTTTGCGCATGTAGAAAGTGATCTTCCGACCCCCAGATCCAACAGTAGCAGCAAGAGCTCTGGCCAAAAGAGTCTTACCAGTACCTGGTGGACCGTGAAACAAAACTCCGCGAGGTGGTGTAACGTGGAACTTCATAAAGAGCTCAGGATACAGAAGAGGCATCTGAACCATCTCCTTCAATTGATCTATATGACCGTCAAGACCACCAATCTTGCTGAAATCAACGTTTTGATCAACGCCCAGTGGATCTGCATCAGCCAAAGCCTTTTGGCTCTTCACTTTCCCCAAGTTTGCGGGGGTGCCCGATAATGCGGCAGCAGGTTCTGGGTTTGTCTGCGCCAATCCAGGGAGCAATCCAGGTATAGCAGATGTCGGGGTCATTCCAACGTTTCCGCCAACGTTCGTAGGCCGTGCCATGTTCTCCTCGTCACTACTATCCGAATCTGCACCGCCTGCTGCTCCAGTGCCCCAAGGACCGCCAATAACAGGCGGCGGCCCTCCGCCACCACCAAATGGACCATATGTAGAATAAAGATTGCGCTCCCATGGCTGAGAAGCACCATTTCGACCTCCTCTTGATCTGCGGTTGGGCGTGGGAGCATCATCTTGCGCATCTTCATCCAACGCCAAGACTTGATCCATAGGCATGATTTTGTAGTTAACGGGTTTTTTAGCCCGGGTGCTCTTTTGCTCGAACACAATGCCGTTTGATGAAACTCTTCTTCTGTGTCTTCTCGAGCTAGCTTTAAGTTCATGGAGTTCCTCAGCAAGCTCCTCTTGGTCAATGAGCTCCTCCTCTACTTCAGAAGTTGGACTTGCTCTTCTCCTAGATGTACTCTTGGATTTTGCGCGGGTATCACGACGACTACGTCTCTGAGAGCCGGATTCCTCGCTTCCTTTTCGTATGTTTGCGTCCGCGTCGGATGCTGAAATATCTTCCTCGAGGGATTCTTCAACTGGTTCAAAATCGCTGCTAGCATCGGCAGGCCGCTTTTGTTCCTTCTTCTTAGAACCTCGAGTCAGTCGTCTAGGTGCATTGGCAGTGGTAGTGGCAGTGGCAGCAGCTGGCTCGTCGTCATCAGGAATATCAGAGACAACGAGAACGGCTTGTCGAGATGCTCTGCCGGGTCGCGAAATCGGTCCCTCGTCATCATCATCGTCGTCGTCGTCTGCGTCTGCGTCTGCGTTTGCGTCTGCGTCATTTGGTGTTTGATCTTCGGGGTTCCCAATGCTATCGACTTCGTCACGTTCGTCGGTTCCGGCGATCTCGGTGGCAGTAGCCATGATAACATCCTCGCCGCCCTGAACCAAGTCGTGGATTTCCTCTTTGATGGTAGACGCAGCAGCTGGCAGTACACTTTTCGCGCCGCGAGTGGCTCTTCGGCCGACAGCTTGTGGACTATGGCTATCTCGGATGGCATGACGACCAGAATTGGAAAGGGCCTGGTAAACGACGGCGTCGTCGCCCAATGCTGCAGATGTGGCTCGAGTAGTTCTTCGTTCCGTGGGTTCGCCGCCCAAGGCTGCGGACGTGGCTCGTTTGGTTCTTCGCACCATAGTGGCAGAGATTGGTTCCGGAACAGGGTCGGGGGTTTGTTCTTTTGAAGTTCCTCGTGTGCGTCTGGTGGTGGAATCCCAAGTGCGAAGACCGCGAGTTAAGGCGGGCGTTTTAATTTTCAATGTCACGATACGGCTCTTCACTGGAGGGGTCCTGCGGCCGGCCTCATCGTCTTCGGCCTGTTCGCTTGCAGCCTCTTGCCTTTTCCGTTCACCTTCACCTTCACTTTCAGCCTCGTCCTCGTCATCGTCAATGACTTGGCGTCTTCTGCCTTGCGGCTTCTTATTGGGCTTTGCGTCATCCGTGCTGTCCGTCGACTCTTCGACAGATTCACTACTGCCTTCTCCATAGTTGACGGACTTCTTGGCAGATTTTCGCACCGCGCGACCTGTCTTCTCGTTCATCTCGAATTTCTCTTCCTCTTGAGAGGGATCTGAGTATGAAATATCTTCTAGCAAGCTATCGTTGTCGTCGTCGTCTGACTGGGACCCACGGCGTTTGGTGCGCTTGCGCGCGTTTCTTCCGTTCTTCTTTCCACCAGCCGTAGATTTTCTGGAGGTCTTGCGCGCTGGGGCTCTATACTCTGTCGGGTCGAAGTCTGTATCGGCAGAGTCCGACTTGTTGGGGTCAAAATGTTCAAGTTTGCGCTTCGTTGGCATGTCGATCAATCTGTCTGTCGCTGCGGTCGACCGAGATTTATTGGCGGCAAATCATGGGTGGAGAAGGAGACGCGCGACGTGAGCGGTGAATTGGCAGGGGACTCGATTGAGCGATGGATGTAGTGCAAAAGCAGTATGTGGTTCTCGTTCTGGCTCTCGTTCTCGGGGTAATGACTGCGACAATGATCAGTCGGGTGGTGGTTTGTGGTGGGTGTGAAGAGGAGGAGTGGAAGGATGGCACTGTATTGTGGTGATCGGAACCTGTCGCGTAGGTGCCTTGGACCTTGGACCTTGGTAGAACAACATTTCCCGCCAGCCAACCACAGCCGCTCGGGGGTTCGGATAAACCCGGCGGTGGTTTTTCCGGGCCCACCTGATACGGTCCAGCTGCATCGATGCAGTGCAGGTGCACTTTTGACCTACATCCCAACCCTTCTTGGCACCAAACTTGAGGGGAAAGTTGAGGAGCTCTGCTCATCCAGATTCAAGACGTTTTCCACCTATACCACAACCTGCTCTCCACAAGATTTCTCGTCCCCGAAAGAGGCTGGGAATGTGCGGACCGGCTTGGGAGAGCCATTTGAGGCATTTGAATCGTGTTTTCACCCTCTCAAAACTAGTATGATAAATTTGAGAAAAGGAGGGGTTTTTTGGATGTCGTCTTTGAAGTCCAACTTGCCCCTCCTTTATATAGAAATCCGATGCGGCTTAAAACCTTATTTTTGGTGGAGGCTCAACGGGCGATGTCACGTGGCTTTGTTGACAACCTTTCGTCTCCCAGATTGCATTGATTGGACGTCATATTTATGTTTATGGCTATTTATAATTAGTTTTGTATTCCTAGAATGGTCACTTGAGGGATGCTGTTGCCTGTAGCTCAGTTCCCAAGGTCCCGTCGGGTATGTGTCGCTCTTATTGATGTAATCACGTGACCTACCCGAGTAAGGTCGGTGGATCCCTGGGCTCCCGCTAGCTCGGTTCTCTATGGTGTCCCAATCTTACCCACCCATTTACCGCTCATTTAGAGACTATAATCATAGAATTAGCGAACTTTAACTTTAAGTTCATATAGGTAATGAATTATATATTAAATAGATTAAATATATTTTGCGTAAATACATTCTAATAAATAAAGGTTAACGTCCATCCATGCGTAACGAGAAACCACCCGTGCCGAGAAATTTTGTAGGTATTTCACCTTCAAACTAAAAAAAAGCTGAACACACATAGGCGACTCTAATATAATTTGTACTAGCTATATTCTATAGTCAATTCTAAACATATTGAGACCCTTCACTAAGAAAAATAATAATACAAGCTATTCTTAGCTTGATTTATAGTATGCCTTTGCTTAAAGTCCATAATACAGTTCCTTTCTCAAACCTCCACCCTAGTACTTCTCTCACTTCTACTTTCTCTATAGGATGTCACCTGAGTTATATGTATCAAATACCATGCCTGAAATTATTTTCAAGCCTTGTGGCGGCTATACCATGCAGATTTATCTAAATTATTCTTAGCTTGATTTATAGTATGCCTTTGCTTAAAGTCCATAATACAGTTCCCTTCTCAAACCTCCACCCTAGTACTTCTCTCACTTCTACCTTCTATATAGGATGTCACCTGAGTTATATGTATCAAATACCATGCCTGAAATTATTTTCAAGCCTTGTGGCGGCTATACCATGCAGATTTATCTAAAGTCGCCATGTAGATCAGTACTTTTGCTAAGGTGGCGAACCGTTTTTTGGAATAGCGTGCTGAAAGCTACACCCCTGAATATCTGGGTAAATTCAGGATTGGAAAACCGACACGTGACTCTGATTTACAGTCGCTTGCAAAATCGGCTTCGCGTAGTTTTGCTTCGAAAGTTCAGAGCACTGACTATCTCGCCATTTTTGGCTGACTGTAAATGGTTGCTACATGATATGTACTGTGTGTCGCGTGACTTATGACGTGGACGAAGTTATCCACCTACAGTACTGTGATGCTCAAATAGCCATTTCATTTATCTCTGCACGTCGCGTGACTGATTGATTACGTGGATGATATTGCTACCTACGAGCTTATACTAGAAGGTTCTAGAAGCAAATGACAGCTATAGAATTACTATAAATTATCAGGCTCCCCTAGAACCCTCTATGGAAGAGAGGAAAAAAGAAAAAGAGATATTATATTGAGAGCTTCACGTATTATTTATTAACAAGTACAAATTCTATTTTCTATATTACAAGCTTAAGTCGTTGTTCAAACTGAAGAACTAACAATCCTCCTGTGGAAAGTCCTAACGCAATAATTCCACCCCATGTAGCTTGACAAGTAGGTCTATAACCAGTAGGTAGCCAGAGAAAATTAGTAGTGCCATCTGCTAGCCAGTTCTCAGAAACGTGTAAGGTTGGGATCTGCTTGCCGTCAGGGGAGAAGGCGACTGAGGTGACACAATGAGTATGGCCCTCGAGGGCTGGCAGTAGCTGCTGTCCCGTGGCTGCGTCCCAGCGCCGGACGGTCCTGTCGTAAGACCCAGACACGATCTGCTTGCCGTCAGGGGAGAAGGCGACTGAGCTGACCCAATCAGTATGGCCCTCGAGGGTTTGTAGCATCGCATTCCAGTACATTTCGACTCTAGGCTTTGTCTGGATCCAAGGTGGAATACAGCTCTCGAACGCTTCTCGAACAATGCTCTTCTCTGGTGCGAAAACAAGAGCTGAACAATACGCTTGAAGAGGCGCTTGTTCAATAATTGATCGGGTGGATACGGCAAAGCGCCTAGCATCGTGTATAAACGCATGTACGTTAGGGCTTTCATTGAACTTGTTCATGTTAGTAGAGTCTTCTATAAAGGCATCCTCAAAATCGTAATATAACTTACCTTAATCCAGTTCTCAAGCTTCATTATCATCACGATACTATCTGGCAAGCTTTTCATTAAGCTGAGCCCCTCAAGCCAGAATAGATAACTCCTTTTTAAAAACAGATGAACGGAGCCACCGTCTACAACATCATTCGTAGTGTGTCCTCTATCACAGTCAAGTAGATGGTCAACCCAATAGAGACAGGAGTATTGCGCTGCTGCGAGTGGATCTGGATCTGGCGGCTCGACCATTTCAATCTGGAATCCAGGGGCGCGCAATTCGTAGATGTCGCGTCGAAGCGTTTTAGACATAATCTCGAGTGATTTTGAGAACATAGTATAGGTTATATCCGCCATTCCAGATGGAAATACTCTATCAAATGCCCTTTCAAGTAAGAAGTCCTTTGCCGACTGATGGATAAAATACGTCCGATTCTCTCGTATAGTGAGAAACGAGCCGCATTTATTGACAACCTTCACGACTTTATCGAGATTGGCAGACATTTTCTCAGGCAGATCAGAGAGGGCCCCTACCTCGAGCAGGTGGAGTGGGCGGTACGCAAGCGTTATAGTAGAAAGGACGAGACGGCAGAACACTGGATCGCTGTGTTGTAGCTGTTCAACCTGACATAGCATCCGATTATAGAGTGGTTCTAGCTCTGGCGGCATATCCTGAAGCACATCGAGCACGTCCCAGCTCTCTACGGGCTCAAGCTCCTTTAAGACAAGAGCTGCCCAAAGAAATGTCCC